TACAATCACAAAAAAAAACACTGTGAAAATATAAAGTAATTTTAGTTATTGTTTATATCTGAAGTGTAACCAACTTCATTTTAGTAATACAATAGAAACATTTTTAAAGACTTTGCAGCTTCATATGAGTGTCAATGCTTTTGGTTTTGTTACAGCACAGACAGGTGGATGAGATAGATCAAAATAATTAAGAGTTTTTCATCTGAAAAAACACAAAATATAGTTTTTCTACATCAGAGGATTCTTCTTCAGATGCAGAAGGGGAACTAAATACTTCCCGGTTTTTATGTAATGTTAAAGCTACATAGATCAGATCTGCACTCATAAGGTTTAGCTGGGTAACACAGTCTGTATTTCATGATATTACATTACAACCATGTGACATCTAACTTGAGGCCTTAATTTAGACGCCTCATATGAAACAACAACCCGACAGGTGCATGACGCACCGCCAAAATGCTAGCCAACTTTAATGGTATTTAGCAGCTAAGTAGCTAGTTACACGTCCTGACTTAGACCAGGTAACATATTAACTTGTCTCCCTTCATTTCTTACAGACAGCAGTCAGTAGGAAAACATAAACTGGCCTTCTGTGATAAAGTCAGGACGCGTCATTTACATGAAATCGAATCTGAAAGTAGCTTTCTGACTTAGCTCACTGCTAGCCCTTTATTGTTGATGTTAGCTAGTTGACAGCTTCCTACCTCCTCCGACACTCAGCTCGTTGGTCGTGTTGTTCTCGGCAAATGGCGGGCATGTTCGCGGCTGTCTCAAAGGCTCCCTCTGGTTGAACAGCATGGTTTTGGTCTCGCCATCCACAGCGGTGCCCACGAAGCCCGGGTCTCCAGGTAGGTTTCGGCTCCTACCTGCTCCGGGAGCTCGGTCGAAATGGTCGTTCATGACTGCTGGTGTGTCAGCCTCCAGTCTCCAAGCAGCATCAGGTAAGAGACGAAGAAGAGCTGTCCACCAAACTATTTAATAATAACTTGTGTGTGTTTAAGCACAGTAAAACACACCCTATCTCTCTTTCATGATGGCTTTTTTCTAAATCCGACAATTCAACTCTTTTTTTTTTAGCCACTTCCTTTAACAACAAAGTCGCCGTCACAGATAAGTGTGATTAAAATGTGAAGGTGGTTCCCTCTAGTGGTGTGGAGGTAAAACTCAGCCATACAGGAGGACGCCTCAAAACCATTTACGATGGACAGTTTTTTTTTTCAGATTCTCTACAAAGTTAAGTCTACAGAACCAGGTATGTCTGGAAGCCCATTTCCGCCAGTTAAAAAAAAAATAATAATAATAAAGTCATAATAATGAGATAAAAAAGTCAAATTTATGAGATAAAAAAGTCAAATTTATGAGATAAAAAGTCAAATTTATGAGATAAAAAGTCAAAATTATTAGATTAAAAAGTCGATTAATTATGAGATATAAATTTGAAATTATAAGATAAACATGTCGATTAATTATGAGATATAAAGTCGAAATTATAAGATAAAAAGTTGATTAATTATGAGATATAAAGTCATAATAATGAGATAAAAAAATCAAAATTATGAGATGAAAAGCCGATTAATTATGAGATAATAAAGAAAGTCGAAATTATGAGATAAAAAGTCGATTAATTATGAGATATAAAGTCATAATAATGAGATAAAAAGTCAAAATGATTAGATAAAAAGTTGATTAATTATGAGATATAAAGTCATAATAATGAGATAAAAAGTCAAAATTATGAGATGAAAAGTCGAAATTATGAGATAAAAGAAATCAAAATTATGAGATGAAAAGTTGATTAATTATGAGATATAAAGTCATAATAATGAGATAAAAAGTCAAAATTTTGAGATATAAAGTCAAAATTATGAGATGAAAAATCGAAATTATGAGATGAAAAGTCGAAATTATGAGATATAAAGTCATACTAATGAGATAAAAAGTCAAAATTATGAGATAAAAAGTCAATTAATTATGAGATAAAAAGTCAATTAATTATGAGATATAAAGTCATAATAATGAGATAAAAAGTCAAAATTATGAGATGAAAAGTAAAAATAATGAGATAATTGAAATTATGAGACTTTATTATTTTCATTTTCATTTTTTTTACTGGCGGAAATGGGCTTCCATAGGTATGACATGGACGCATATTCATATTTAAATTTAAAGTGTATTCAAGTAATGTTTATACACTCTTATAGTGTGAGTGGAGATGGCAAACGGTGTATGTAATGTTAAATATGTTGAAGGTGGGAAATGCTTTATTTATAGCTCATTTTATACACACATGGTAGTCTGCATCTTTGGGGAGAATTGGCCATGATAATTACTTACGAATTAATTCTTTTGAGATTTATTTTCAAGTAAATGAAGGATCCTACATTTCTGGGGAATGTCTTGAAATGAAATTCAGCCTTCCTCGTAGCCGTTATAGTTCTTGAATAGTTCCTTTACTTAAAGAGAGATAAGCTCTAAAATGTAGTTAACTGATGATAAAGTCATGAAAAAAAGCCATTAGATCATTGATGCTGATGCTTACTTATCTAAGTTGTGTTTGCAGTTGTGCGTATTAATATAAATATGTTTTAGTTAATGACAGGAATTTGATGATAGGATATTTGTTTGTGTGTTGAGTAAATTGTGCAATATTTTGTACGAGATGATAAGTGCAAAATGAAAATAATAATGGAAGACTCAGCTATTTAAATAAAATATGTCCCATCATTTAATATTAACAGATGCATATTGAATAATATGTATTTCCATATCAATCTCTAGACCCTTATACTAAATGGTAAATTAAATCAGTTCATATTATGTTTATGCTATTATCTGTAACATTTAATTTTACTTGCCATCAGATCTGTCCAATAGTTTTAATTTCTGTACACTGCAGATAATTGCTTACGTACATGTCTTGTTTTACTATCAGTTCACTTAATTTATACTGACCAACACTTACATTTTTTAATTTAATTAATTTTAATTTAATTTTTTTTTTTTTTTTTTTTTAATTAATCAAAACCACTAAATTCTCAGATTTTATGTTTTTTTACATAACCTTGGTTTCTTAATACTAGCTTTCTGTTATTGGGTTTAGTGTGAACAACATGAGAACATAATGATGGTCCTGTTAAATGGTATGTGGTGGATTGGGTTAAATAACACTAAACAGGATTGGGAGATTACATTTATCTGATATATCAGACTCACATTTCCACATTGAAGAGAAGTCCGTGGACCTGTGCAGCCCCTCAGACGTGCCTCTCTCTCCCTTGAGCTCACTCAGTAGCTGCCCACTACAAACATGTGTTGCACCAGACCTCTCAGTGTAAGTGTTCATTAGTTGTTTTAGCCTCCAGTCATTTTCCACTTGTTTCCCAAAGCTGGATCACATTATGCCACAGAGAATTCCTGTGCCAGAAATGCGGAGACCCACTCTGATAAAAGATTACGGCCCCTATTTTCTGTTATTGCTGTCTCCCCCCTTACCTCCCCATGCCATTGTCTTGGAAGGAGTTCAAACATTCACAGGTCCCGGGAATTCACAAGATGACAAATGGCTAGTTGTATTTTGTCAAGCACTCAAACCGGCAGGTTTAAGGTCCGGAACAGTATAGTTTTATGTTGCATCAGTATACATTATGTAGGTTATATCCCTGGGGATTTATTGACTGCATAATTAGGTTACACAGCAATTAAATAAACATACGTTGCTACTGTATGCCATGTATTCTAAAGAGCAAATTCCTACTGTGTCTTCTTTCTTGCCAGTCTAATCTTAAATAAGTTAGGCAAAGCAAAAACACTTGAAACAAACCCAGAGCCTTTTTAGTCCAATGGCCTCTTAATGGTTACATATAAATAGAAGACAATCTGGCCTGAGAGGTGCAGCAGCCAGACCACATTGCGCAATGACTTGAGCGTGCAGAGAAAAGTAATAGATGGTCATGAAATAGTATTCCATATGTTGCCATGGGCCCTGACTGTCATGGTGGAATGCACTGATGATTTCCTCAGTATTAATCATTCGTCGTGGTGATTCCTTGAACAGCCTTTAAAGGACAATAAACCATAGCCTACAGCGAAAGCGTTCCTGTACTATAGATTCCTATAGGTCAGGTAGCATAGCATTTTGTTGTTTTTGCTTCTTCAAATCTGAAGTCATAGTAATGGGTCAATTTGGGCATGAAGGCCATCTTCCTGTCTTAGTCTGCTCCCCCCCCCCTCTCCAATTTTTCATGCCAGTGCTGAGATGGATGCTCAGAGAGAGGCGGGATAAAAGAACATGAGGCCCCGGAAGCCTGTGGCGTTAATGTTCTCCCCGTGGTCTTTTGATCTGGCATTGAGGCAGCTGTCATTGATTAGTGTGTTTGTAGATGATTAGTGAAGGAAGTGGGTGGTCAGACACAGGTCATATCTCTGTTTCCCCTTCGTTCACATTTCTGCCTCCAAATGGGAAGAAGTGAAGAAGACCCATTTGAAGATGCTACTTTTCAAAACATGTTGTAACAGCATTATCAGCTGGTGTTGAATCAACTAACTATCAACACCCTCAGCTACTATTTATATCCTCCTTCTGTCAGGAAATGCTGCCATATTTATTGTGTAATATTAGGAAGTGAAGTCAGCATCTACAGGCCACATGTGATGTTACCCTCCTCCCATTTAGCTGTGGTCGGTCTGCAAGCTTCCCGTTTGTTTGTGAAGTGATTGTTAGTGCAATGGTTGCCACATGGAATATCTGGCGAGGCATTAATAGCTGCCTTTTGTCCCTGATAAGAAAAGACTTGCCATGACCTCAACGCTCTCTTGGGTTTCTCCTATTACTTGTGAGAAAAAAAAAGTTGTGTTTTCTTCAGTTGCCCTCTGGCGATGCAGGTTTTTGGCGTATTAAAGAAGTAAGAAGAATTCATTGCAGAGGAGAAGAGTGGTATTTTATTTTCACATAATAGAGTTCCTATAAAAAGTAGAGAATGCAAAGGGATGCTTGCCTTGTAAGTGTTCCTCTCCAGTTAAATATTTCACAAAATAAATAAATCATTACAATACAATCAAAACACAGTGGTTAAGTATCAAACATTTGCTTAAGATGTGATGTACCCTCTTTTATTTCCTTGCAGACCAATCATTTACCTCATTTTATCCGTTGTCTTTATGCTGTGCATAATCTGGAGATTATGGATTATAAATAACATATTTAGATATTTCTGCATCTACCACAGTTCATAGCTAGGACAGTGTCTTCTGTGTTGTCCATGTTACACACATACTCTAGATAAAAACAGTTTGGCACAGAATAAAGGATAAATATTACATCCCATGCCACTGAAAACACAGAAATCATCCTCTCCCATCAAATAAAAGTACACGATCTCTGCAGAGTCAGGAGCAGAGACCGTATTTTAATGTAACAGTGTTAGTGCCTTGTTTCCAAAAAGAGATCTCTCAGTGAATGTCTTTATTTTACAGATAGTTTCAGGATTGAAAATCTCTCAGTCCAGTGCTGCATGATCGCCTTCTCCTCCAATTTATTTCGCCAGTTTACACCAAAATTGGAAGGAAGTGGGTGGCCGTGTTCCTCCTGCGGGTTTTCTTGCCTCTCAGCGGCTTCCCGTGGACATTCAGACCCACAAACATCTGCCGCTTCTTGTTCCTCCATTGGGCTGATGCGTACGTGTTGTAACCGTTCTCCTCAATGCGCTCCTTCAGGGTGCAGTCGACACCAAAGTCTCTCTGGAAAAACAACAGGTATCACGATACAGTGTTATAACCCCGACATGAGAGGTTAAGGCAAAACACACATCATTTTCTTGTGCAAATCCATTGTGGTTGCACACGGTGCCTTGTTTATGTACTACACCTTAATCTACATGGCATGTTTGGCTTCTTGTGCTTGTGCAGAAACTAGTGTGCACTTTGGAAATTGCAGAGTTCTTTTTTGTGCCCTAGAGGATCACATGTGTGCGCTGTTCTGATTGTGATTTAGACCTGACCCATCATTTAGGGAAGTAAAGATAAGGAAAGGGCTTTGATAAGAGCAGAGGAATCTAACACTATCTCTGCTCAGAAGCTTTCAGATTGGCCTCTGACCCGGATACTCACCGCTCCGTACAGCTCTCCCTTCCTACTGATGGCCAGATAGTAGTTGCTGTTCAGTCCTTTGATGGCCACCACTCCCACATCAACTGATGTGATTTCCAGAATACCTACGATTCAGGAAAAGAGGGTTATCTCAATTTGTGTTTCCAACCTGACCTTCCTTTAATATCTGAGGAAGAAAAATAGTTCTATTTCTTATAAGTTTGAGCTGAACTACCAAGAAAAGGCATCTTTACAAGTCAGAAAACATACATGTAAAACTTAAAAAATAGAGGAATTCACAGTAATAATTGTTTTCTTGATTCATAAATAAGCGTAAAGATCCATTCTTCTTGTAGCAGTCACAGACCAGGATAAATCCTTCAATTTGCAACAACATCGGTAAGAATACGTAACTAATGAATTACCACATGTTGCATGCTCATTTCAGGACATTTAACATGTGGCAACACACGGTGTGGGAACTCTCGCTCAGGTCACAATTGAACACATTCTTCATTTCAGTGATATTACAAAGTAACTTTACAACCCACACCTGTGTAACAGATTCCAGATGCGCAGGCCATTTAGTTAGAAAATGAATGGGTGGAGACTGCAGAGATTCTCAGGTTGTTTATGTTCTGTTTGGTATTTAGCTTTCCAAGTCCCTATACAAGTAATTCAGGTTTCTCATAGGCTATTAGAGAGGCTAATTTATACCCCAGTTAACAAGGGCAGGCTTTTTCTGCAGACAGCTGTGGTTATTTGTGTGGTCCCAGTATCAGAGGTCAGAGAGATATAACTTCCTAATGTGTCCTTTGACCACAGAACCCACTTGTCTCCTTTTGTGTGTGTGTGTGTGTGTGTGTGTGTGTGTGTGTGTGTGTGTGTGTGTGTGTGTGTGTGTGTGTGTGTGTGTGTGTGTGTGTGTGTGTGTGTGTCTGTGACAGTTTGTCTGCGTGCAAATGAGTTTGTGTGTGAGTGAACCTCCCCAGTTCACATGTTTGATTTCATGGCTCCCTCCCTGACTTCCTCTCCCCACTTCCTGTGAGCTGTCGTTATTTTATCCCGATAAGCACACATATGTGTAAGGGCTCACACACACACACACACACATTCCGACACACACTTCAGCGTGGGGGGTGTGAACTCAAGAGACTTGATGACATCCTTTGATCAGATCAGCAGCCCCTCCTCTGTCTGATGACTGTTTGTGTGGCAGTCCTACTCTCCGGTGGCTGGAGGGGAGGGAGGGTCTTTGAAAGCTGCCAACTTGGTACGGGAGTGGACAGTTGAGGATGCAGGTGTGTGCCTCCCTCAAAAAAGAACAACCCATCTCTTAAAAGAAAACACAGCAGCATCTCTCCTCGTCCGTGAGGTCTTGACTGTATCAGTTTCTAGTTCAAACAGTGGCACCTCGGGGCAGTGAGGTCTGAAACGGTGAAGGCGGTGGTGTGGTGGGGACTGTGACACAACGGCCATTGAAGATCTGAGAGGAGCTAGATTTCTGTATGGGATCGGGTGTCGGGTACGGAGTGAGGATGTAAGACAATCTATGGCAGGCTCGGGCTGCTCTGTAAACATGGGAGGGATGAAAGGAAGGAGAACAGAGGAGGACAGAGGAGCCATGACAGTGAGACTGGGGGTGGAGTGAGGATTAGTAAGGCTGTAATGATCACTGATCAAAGTCAGCCACCGGAGGCAGGGGCGAGACTGGTTGTATACACACACACACACACACACACACACACACACACATGCACGCTAAAGCACATGCACAAATGCTCTCACATATGCACACATGGTTAATATTGCAACAGGTGAATGTGCACTTGTACCCTCAACCTGGCTCTGAAACTACAAAATCTCCATTAACTCTTTTCAGCTGAGTGGGGTTTACAACAGTAATCCTTCAACGTTCTGAAAATGCTGTGTATTGGCTAAATTTAACAAACCACATTATGCAAAAAAAAAGAAGTCAGCCAGCCAGGCTCAGCTGTTTACGTGGTGATACAGCAGTTTGTCTTTTGCCTGCTGGTTTCTTTTTTCCTAATGTGTGGCTTATTTGATACGCACTGTTTGGAGTTACAACAGTAAATGGTGCGTTGGTTGTGGAATGGAGGCGCTACGATGCCAGGGAGAATTAAAGGTGTTTTTTTTCCACAGTGGGACGCCAAAAACTATGGGCTTTGCAGCTTTTTTTTCCCCTCACTCTCACTTTGCTCCGATTTTCAAATGAATGTTAACATGCGGCACAAAAATAGCATTTGGAAAGATAAGTCTTGATTGGTGCCATTCCCGTGCAGAAAAATGGTTGGGAGTGAGGCGCAGATCAGGATATATTGTAATAACACTTGATAAGGACCACACTGAGTGTATTTACAAAGCGGGGACATCCATCGTTTTCCCCAACTCGGAGGAAAGCCATACATCTCTCTACCTTCAACCTCCATAAGAGCACCATGTGTTTTTTTTTTTTTTTTCCCACGCAAAGAGCTGCTGCTTTGATTAAAGGAGATGAATGTGCACGAAGAAACACATACTTTCTAAGCCATGTCCAGAAGCTTCTTCCACACATGGCCTTGCCCCCATGCAGCACAGACACACAAGTGGAGACCGGACACATATGCACACACATCTACACACACGTGATCTTGACTGGCTCGCCCTCTCACACCATCACAGCCGAGGATAATTAACTTCAAGTTTTTACCGCCAACTTTTGCATTAGGCCAATTTCTTATTCATCTTATTTAGCAATCGTTTACTAGTTGCACAGAGCTGCAAGCCGGCGATAAACTCTGGAGAACTCATCTGTAAATCATAGACAATTTAATTACGCACTTAGGCCAAGCAGATAGCTGTTAGCTGACTTTAACACAATCTCCCTCCTTTTCTCTCTGCCTCTCTGTAACCTCAGCACAGGCTCCCAGCGGGTTGGAAAGCCATGTGGGACAGTTTTGCGCTGGCATCCCAATAAATCTGTGGGAGGCTGGATACTGGCTCTTTAACAGACAATGAGCTGGATCCTCGCAGGGCCACAGGCAGCACCAAAAAATCCAACGCCTCCAAACCTGGAACACCTCTCAGACAAGACAAATATATGAATGGTAACAATAAGAAACATCCGAGGTCGAATTTGAATGTGTTGTTTCTTATTTGGGCTCAGGAAAACCCAAGCCTACCTCGTCTCATTGATAAAAAAAATTAGAATAAAAAAAAAAGTGATATTTGTCACTTCAAGGTACCATGGAGGGTCTACAAAGGATGTCAGCTCTGGGATCATGTCTAGCCCCAGGGGCTGGAGCAAAGACTGAAGCTGCTGTTGTGTAGTATCCTTTACCGTTAGAACCTGATACCAGGGCACATAATCCACACACAGTGTCCCCAGACCCCCTCAGGACACAGCTTTTTGATGGCACCACCATTGATACTGAAGACGCGCGGCTTTGATGTGGCCACAATGATGTTCAGCCGTGTCATTCATGAACTTGTACCTCCAGAGAGAGAGAGAGAGAGAGAGAGAGAGTCCCCCTGTGCTCCCATTCACCTCCCTCAAACTGACTCAAACTAGCTTTTGAAAAGGCAACAAACTCCTAAAAACTGAAGGAGTTTTGCCCATTCAAAAATACAAGACAGAAGGTTAAATCAACCCTAAAGCACACATAAAGTTTAGGTTCACACACCACTGTTATGATAAACTGAGCAAGACTTCCTCCCGCCACTCAAGTTTTACTACTTAAAAGAAACCACTAGCGAAGGCGGCAGTAAAGGCATCACAGTGTAATACAGTCAGTAAATAAAGTTGCCTCTGTCATGACCTTGTCAAAACAAACATCTCCCCTGACATTCTGCCTCCCCGTGCCATTTCCCCCTAAGTCTCTTTGATTGAATGTGTGGTTTAGCTCTCCCAAGAGGAACATTAAAAGCTTCCATACACACATGGGGATGGGGGACAGAGAGAAAGAGGGAGAAAAGGGCATATATATGTGTGTGTGTGTCAGTAATAAGCAAGCACATGTGTCGTCGTTGGCTGCTATATGATCACACACCTACTGGAGCATGTGAGTGCCCGCTGGCTGATAGGCACACACACGTAGTTCGGTGGGAATGCTGGGAAGACTAATGAGAATGCTTTTTTTTTTTTTTTTTTTTTAACTGACTGATATGCCGAAACATACAACGTGTAATCATTTTAAAGACGTGTTTCTGCAAGTGAGCACGTCAAACTGCTTTAAACAAATGTCTGATGTGTGACCGAGGGTGTGTAATTTGCTCCACGCCGGCTGGCAGGCGGGCAATCTGAGTGGGAGAGTGAAAGAGACGCAGACACAGAAAAAGTGCTGCAAGAGGCTAAAAGCATCAATGAGGCTGACATCAATATCCTCTAGTCGCCCCCCCCCAACCACCACCACCACCACCACCACCACCACACCACACCACAACACAAGGCCTGTTCTTCTGTGCTTGTTATCAGGTCTGTTTACCCTGGGCTGTGAAGACGGCCTGATAATGGCCGAGTTATCTGCCCCTGCTCCTTCTTAAGCCATCTCAGAGCTACCATCATTGTGCTGAGTGTTTGGTCAGCAGAGATATGGCTGGGATGTCTGGTTAAAAACAAAAAAAGACAACTCTAATCAGGGATTTGCTTCGACCAATTTACAAACCAGTGAGCGGGCTGGCCTTCTCTGAAAATGACCGATGAATGAGGGACTTTTAAATAAATTTAGAGCTTACACCAAGTTGTCTTCTAATTTAGACCTCTGTGGTAATATTAGGCAACTTTTTAGGGGTAAGTCATGCTCTGAAGAATGAACATCGAATTTCTCAAATTAGCAAATACCAAACATTTTGAATGGTTTCTTGTTGCCAAAGAAGCAATCAACCGGTTTATTTTTAAACGGTTTAGAGTGAAATGTAAAAATCCTTCAATTCTAAACAGTGTCAGAAGTTCTGGTTGCAGAGGTTAAAAGCCTTGGGAGGTTAAAACCAAATACAATGTTTTAGCTGAAAGATGCGTGCGCTTAAATCAATTTTAACATTTGCACACAAATGTTAAAACACAACATTTGAATCATCATTCAAGTCTGATTCAATCTTTTTTTTCATGCTTTTGATTATGAGTTTATGCAATGAGCTACTTACTGAGGGGGTCGTCTTTACTTTTGGTTCCATTGACCTTTCCATTCCTATCGATCCTCAGGAAAAACTTCTGGAAAGAGAACAGCTTCCTCCGCCGTATGTCCCCTTGCAGATGATTGTAGCTGCGCACATGCCTACCCTGAGCTCCGCCAGCCCGGCCAAACGGGCCCCTGGTGGCCCTTGGTCTAAAACCCACCTCAGTCTCAGAAATGTTCAGAGGAACCTAAGAGTTCGTGGGTTTGGGTGTCTGAGTCTGTCTCTGTGGTTGGGTGACTGGCCGCCCCTGGTAGGAAGAGGGAAAGAAGCACAAGGGCCACCAGGAGAGGCAAAGACAGGGAGGGAAGCAGTGTGGATGACCTTAATCTGGAGCTGACCCCAGAACCAGAACTAGCCCCTAACCCAGCCCTGAAGCAGGACGAGGCAGAGGCAGCCTTACTTCCTCCAGCAGCCCATCTGATCATGGTAGTGTGCTGTGTGGAGGACTAGAGGCAGCCTCAGAGCCTGGGACATGCTGCTGGGGGCAAGGAGAAGCTGGAAGGGCAGGGAGGAGAGCCCTCCACAGTCCAGACGATGAAAAGGTCCCCCTGAAGAGTCCAAAAGATTCAGCACCTGTATAAAATGTGAGTGATTTTGGAGCGTGTGTAGACTGTTCTACAAGTGTTTGAAGCTGATAATCCTCCGGTTCTTTTTTTCCACTGTTAAAAAGCTGTAGGCTGACGTTCAGAAAGCCTGCAGTCCAAGTGTGTTTTGGAAAAAAATCAGTCTGATAAAGCAGAGATTACGTTAAAAAAAAAAAATACACACAAATAACCATGTGTGTGTATTCCAGTAACAAGCCTGTTTTCCACTCTCCTTTGGGTTTGCTGTTCTCTTGAAGTTGTTTAAATTCTTGCTGCTCCAGTTAGACTCTGTATTTCCATTTTTTTTTTTCTTCAAAAAGACAAAAATAGAAAGTTTGCTGATGTCCACGTTGAAAGTTTGCAAAGTGTAAAATCCCTTACAGGTCCAGTGAAATCACAAAAGCTGCACTATACAGATTACCTGTCCAAAATGTGCTGCACTCCACATGTTCCAGTTTTCACTCTGAGGAGGAAAACCAGGATTCAGACTTTAAAAGGAGCGTTGGTCAATTGAGGCGCATGTCAGATAATCCATCTGTCCCCTTGTGTTGCCCCACTCCTCTCGCTCTCCCCTTCATCTCTCTCTCTCTCTCTCTCTCTCTCTCCCTCTCCCTCTCTCTCTACCCCCAAATGACTCCACCTTCATGAAACATCGAGGTAACAGTCTGGGGAGGTCTTCCTCTCTGAGTCAGACTTGCTCACCTCCTCCTGTTGGTTAGCTCCTCGATGTGAGGATTCCTGGTGTGATCTCCTCACCTGAAGGCTGATCACAGAGAATGACTGCGTGTTGTGTTGTCTTGTTGTGTATAGCTGTGGGACTCTGTTAGCTATTTGATCCCTCCCTCCTTCACTCAACTTCCCCTCTCACATATGGGAGCAAGTACTGCTCTGCATGTGTGTGTGCATGCCTACGTACGAGCAGATTATAAGAGTGGGTGAGATAGCAGGGTTTATCTGAGTGGATGCAGCAGGGCAGGAAGAAGCCGTCTGCTGGTATCGGATCAGACCTCACAGCTGCAGATTATGCTGATGATTGCTTTATTGGTTAATCAAAGAGTGGGCTTGTTTGTAGTGTGCAAGAAACATGACCTAGTTGACATTTCCAATCTGTGTAATGCTAATTTTTGTTATCCTGAACATACATGTGCCTGCAGGGTAAAGTGTGAAGAGGATAACTATCTCAAATTGAAATGGACCCAATTTTTAACTCATTAAGATGTGAGAATCCTACAAGAGTCCTCCTCTATCTCTCCAGATAAAACTCATATTAAGTATCCGGGGTGCTGGTGGCGCAGTGGTTAGTGCGCAGTGGTTAGTGCGCCACCAGCACCCCATGTATAGAGGCTGTAGTCTTCCAAGCGGGCGTCCCGGGTTCGAATCCAGCCTGTGGCTCCTTTCTCCTTTCTCTCTCTCTCCCTGATTTCCGACTCTATCCACTGTCCTATCTCTCAATTAAAGGCACAAAAAGCCAAAAAAATGATCTTAAGAAAAACTCATATTAAGTTTCTGTTGCCGGTTCCAGTCTTATCGCCCATCTCGCAAAGGCCTCTCTCTTTACCTGAAGGCAACTTATCACAGTGTGTTATCTCTACCGCAGCGCTGTATTGCAATGAAGCTCTCCGGTTTCACTCGGCAGACCCTCAACCTTCCTCTGTGACTCAGGTGTCTGCGTGGCTGTCAGCCAGTGAGACTCTCTTTCACCCATCATGCATCATTTGCTCCTCAAGACAATGGTGGGACAGGAAGGCAGGATGGATAACGTCATATAGCAGGCTAGACAACAAGGATGCTCACTGCTCTCACAGAGTGAAAATGTGGAAATCCTGATTAAAACCCCTCTTATTTCAAACGGGACTATATTTGACTGTACAGCAAACCCTTTAGGTACATTTGTTAAGGCCTACTTAGAAACTAACAATGATCAAGGACTATATAGTGAATCCACTGTGATAAACTAAACATGTTCTGTCAGTCTTATCAGATCCTCCTGATCCTCTTGTCTTTAATGTCAGAGTCTGTCCTGTTCCCCGGCTTTGCCCCCCTTAAGTCCAGGTTTTTTTACTGCCTGCTTTAATGTCTGTCAACGATTTAGGGCCAGAGCAGCGGTCTGGTCTCAACTCTGGTCTTGGCATGGCTTTATCAGGAGATACAAACAAAGCAATCTTATCAGCTCTTCCTTTGTGCGGTCCCTTCCCACTGTGATAACCTGAATCAGTGCAGAGGACACAGAGCTGGGAGGAGCAGGCCTCATTTTTATTGACTATTATTATTGTTGCTGCAGTAATTGTTTAAAAAAAAAACATGTTTTTTGGACTTGCTCTCTATGATTCCAAATTCGATGATCAGTTTCTTCACCTAAAGTAAAGATTTACAAATTTATCACATATTAGGGTAAACCAAGGACTGTTTCTGGTCCTCCTGTTTTTTTTTTCTTTCTTTTTTTCATTTATAGCCTTCAACCCCTCAGCTCTCTCTGGGAAAATAAATAAATAAATAATTCCTCAGATTTCCTGCAAATGATTAAAACTGACCAAATAACCAGGGGGGATTTACTAACTTGTGTTTCATGTGCTTTTGTATTAAGATAGTGTTTCGTGGGTTGAAATAAGTGTACAAAATATGTGTGGGAATATCGTATTTAAAATGCTTCACTAGGGACCTGTTTATGGTGAGAATCTTTCAATCGGCATTCTTTAAGTTTATTATTTGCTCACTGGACAATAGTATGAAATCAAACACGCAGAAATGTCTCTATTTTCAGCTTGAAGCAGTGGGTTTAAAAACATGAAGTGTCCAGGATGAATGTTTTCACTTTGTAGGCATAAGTACAATTCTTAAATTAGGGCTGAGTGACTGAAACTGTGCAAATAAAGCCTAAACTCTTCCATTTTCTTTCCACTTAGACAGCACAGTTTCTCACAGTGATGAAGGTGTGCATAGATGCTGACAGACTCATAAGATTTGCAGGGTTTCTTCCAAGCCAAGCAGCAAATTCTTTATAAATGTAAACTCGCCTGTCTTTTTTCTCTTAAATGCAATAAAACTGAGATTTGCAGAGTCTGGAGAAGGTTCAGCTCCATCCCTGCTCTCCAGCTTTCGCATTTAGTGTATCTTTTTAGATCAATCTCCCTGAACTGCATTTCAAAGTTCAGGACCGAGCGGCAATAGAACAGACAAATGTGCTCCTGATCCCTCCCTGCAGCATGTGGCTCTAGCTGGGTTCTCTCTCGATTTTCTCCAAAACAAAAACATCATTACAAAAGAAGCAATGAAAAGTAAAATACCGGAAATTTATACACGTCAACGGAGATTTGATTTCACACAGTGCCGATTGCCAAGAAGAGAAATGTATCAAGGGGAAACACATGGAGAGATTCTCGGTATTCCTTTTATGGTGTTATGTTAAGGATTTTCATGAAGTCAAATTCCTGTTTTTTTCACATTCGTCTTCGACAAACTAGTAGAACTCTCAGTGACATTTATGCTGTGTCAGATTAGAAAACTGCTGAGATCAATTAAACATTCATTTGATCACATTTGTCTATTTGAGTCTCATTTAAATACATAAACATGGCGTTACATGTGTGGGTGTGTTTTCATGTATGGAAGTGCTCGTCTGCAAATAATGTTTAAGGGGGAAAATAAAAAGAATTCTGACAACTGAAAGCAGTGACATCATCATGCAGGAATAAGCTGGATTTAGTCAAAGGTAAAGCACCATGACTTGTTGGTGGAACCTTACCAAACACAGCTGCTTAAACTGGAATTTGAACCATGTTTTACTTTAATTTGACTGTTTACTTTTTTTATTTCGACCCTTCGTGCTGTATTTTACAATTTTGCTTGCACTTGTTTGACAAATTAAACCTCATGCAAAAGTCACTAAAGAAATAAAGTGAACCTTCTAATTGTCAATACACAGAAACAAAATTTGCATTTCTTGTCCATTTCAAGGCTGTAATTGGTGAGTCCCAACTTTGTCTTCATTTCAAGCATTTTTCATATGGTGACCGATCACAGTCTGACGTTTGAGTTCCTTTTGGCTGACATTCTTTGGCTTTTTATTTTCCTGTAAAGCCGTGATGGCATTGTTGCTCATGCAAACTTAGTTGTCTTTTTGAACTGCCAACAGCCGCCAGTACTAAATGCATCACTTCCTTACTGTGTGTCATGATTTTATTTCTTGATAAAGATCTGATCGCTGCCAGTTACATGTACTGGGATTAGATTGAATCAGACAAAACCAAAACTATTGAAATTAAAAAGTCTACTTGTTACTGAAATACGGCCTTCAGTCCAACATGGAAATGGATTTTTCAGGCCTAACCTCTTATCTGAAACCAAATATAACAAATGTGACCAAGTCCAACTTAGCTTTGATCCATTAAATGTTGGCCCGTTCTCCTGCATGAGCTCAGTTCAGATCTCTGTAGCAGCAGGTGGATATCTTGCAATCTGTCGTTGTGTCTGCTCCACATAATGTGTCACATTTGCAGGTCAAACTGTGGAAATTCACTTTATTCATGTAATGTGTCTGTCTCTGATTTTGCTCGGTCTCATTGTGAGCACATTGGCCCCTCCCTTGTAGTACACTATCATTAAGCAGATGTTTCACCAAAGAAAAGCACTTTGCTATTAGTTCCCTCAGCTCAAATCCATATGTGGTCTATGAGGGAGTCAAAGGCACGACTCACAAACAACCAAAGTGACCTATGGGAACCATGTGTTTGTCTGTCTGCGTTCCCTGGGGCCCGCTGTGTGTGCGCTGGGTCAGAGCAGGCTGAGGCTTTAATAAAGGAACAGGCCTGGTGCAGGGATGCCAGTCTCACTGCCTGCGGACATTCAACCTGATGGGGTCCAGATGAGAGTCACCAGACTGGACCTCTTCCTCCAAACCAGCAGCCGTTTGGTGCACGGCTTACGCTCCTCTGCCTTCTTTTCTGGGTTTACACTGGATTTAAGGGGTAAACCACCAGATTATAGAAACATTCTCCACTAATGTCACTTTAAGGTTTTCATAGATCACAGGAAAGTGTGTTACCTCATACTCCAAAGACATAGAACGTGTGCCTGGCTCATGCTGGAGGCCTCTTTTTTCTCTTGGTCATCAAATGTAAATATTTAATATGTTCCTGGCTGTTGTGTTGGGGGGTGTCTGGTAACTTACAAGATGAGGTTGCTGTTTCCTGCTTTACGCTGATCAATAGATGTTTGTCATGTTACCTTCCTCATCCTGACCAGGCACTTACATCATCGTCCTCCGCTGAGTGTGGGTTTCAGTGGGACGGAGGAATTTACTTACAGGTCAGGAACTGGATCAGCTGAGACGCACTCAACTGTCCTTCTCCTGATGCATTTTATAACCTAATGTTTAACCAGGATGAGTACTGGTACGAAAACAAGGGGAATGTGGACATCTAGAATCAGCTCTTTCATTTCAACTGAAAAAATCTATACTACAGCATCTGTATAATATTCTACAATATTGTTTTTTTTTAATTGCACTGATAATCCTCAGTAGGAGTACTGCCATTGATTTCTTTGCTTTAAAAAAAAGATCTTGGTCTGTGCTACGTATTATACACAAAAACAGCCGGACAAATCTCTTGTATGTGTAAAATGTCCACAAACTCAGATTGTTTCTAAACGACAACATATGATATGAGAGAATTTATGATTTGAAGAATTCATAATATTTATATAGAATTTTCTGAATCAGCCTGAAATGTCATCTGTCCTTTAAAAATGTTTCAATTGGTTTTCCAGACATTTCATTTTGTAATGAAACATATTTACTCTCTAACATATCGTAACATAAATTGATAGGAAAGCTTTAAAAAAAACAAAGTGCTAAACGACAAAAGCTAAACCTATTAAAAGGTATTATGGTTGTCAATAACCAGGGGAAACTATCAATGCCATAATAATTAAGGATAATATGTTTGATAAAATAAGTATTTACACATTCATGAGTTTTTAGAACTTTAACATATGAGAATTTTTCTAAAAGTTAAAAGTTCTAAAAGTTATTTTCTTAACTGTTGTCTACATGTCCTCTCTGCTCAAGGATGTAACGCGCACTATGACAAGCTGGTGTTTGGATTTTCTTGATGGTCATACTGGTAAAACATCCTTTTTCATTTTTTAGTCAGAAATAAAAAAAAAAAGAGACACTCGGAATCAACTGTCAGTACTTGCTTTAAAAAAATCTATTGAAACACACCAACTCAGTGCAACAATTAAAACATACACACCCAGATGTAAATATAAATATCATATTTTAATTTACTGAGCAGCTATTCAGTCATACTCTCACATTTATTGTGCCAAAGCAACGTCTAAAGCCAACATATTTTTGCTACTGTTGGCAATGTGCAAAGAAAGTCTGGAAAAACGTACAAATAACGAGGTAAGCTTCAACTATTGGATCCCAAGCCACACTTGTTTGGCTTTAGAACACTTGCATTGTGTTGCACAAGCTGCTAAAAGTAATTTTACGAACATATTTTAGGCCTTGTAAGAGTGCATGCCAGCCGACAGCCACTTATGTTGTTGTGAAAAACAGCTGAAAATGAGCTGTGCCAGGTATGTCAGCGCTGGGACACTAACACCAAAACATCACACTGTAGTGATGTTTTCAGTGGTGAAAATGCTTCTTTTTTTCACATTAAAATGAACTTTATGTCAAAAAGACATTCCAGATAACTTACTTGTCATTTTGCTTTGTTCTATGTTTTGTGTTAATCTTTCAGGATTCATTCTACGTGAAGATGTAAATATATTTAGATGTCTTAAATTAGCTATAAATAAAAATGTTTAACCTCGCATCGCTTTCAAAAAGAAATAAAGGCTAAAGCGACGGTGAAGTCACAGTCTGAGATTTTCAATGATTTTTTTTCCAAGCATTTCCTGATTTAGAGCTCCATCACTTCTTTCCATTGTGCAACTCTCCATATGAAGCAACACAATGACATAACAGAATGAGAGCTGTGGTTAGGTAATACAACTGGATGTTATTTGCTTTGTCATGTCAACAACACACACACACACACATATATACACACTGCTGGTTTTTTAGGACATGATGCTCCACACTGACCCAGTATAGTGTTTCTCATTCCATTACTGCTGACTAACTCCTGGTCTCTTGCTTGAGTGATAGCTGCAAGGTGCATGAAGCGAGGCAGCGTCCATACGTGTCAAGTTATCTGGCAGAGAGGAGCCCGAAGAAATCTGGGCCGGCTGAACTCGATCCCTGAAACGGAGCCTGGTGCTGTGGATTCTGGGGTTACAAATCCAGCAGCATCAGGCTCTCTTAGGCACAAAATGACCTTGATGGCAAGAAAGGTCACAAAACACAAGAGAAAGATGCAGAGGACACAGTCACCTGCAAACAATGATATGCTCTTTTTTTTAATGTAAAGATGGATGACTAAAGAAATTGACCAGACTAGCTGATGAGCATCACAAACACATAAAAAATTATAAAAGATTTTATTTATTGTCTCGCTTTTGTTGCAACATCTTTCATCATCATTTTTTAATAGAGAAATTAGAAATCAAAATCAGTCAAAGTGAAGTACCATTTGGAAGAAAGCAGTTAAAACCGTACAACATCTTACAAACACAGCAGCCATCTTTAGAGCGACCTGAGAGGGATGACCCGCAACGCCTCTTTCTCATTGGTCCATCGCACACCAGAGGAGGAGCACCACATGGTTCCACTGCAGAACTGTGCAGGTTCTGCAGCGTATTGTTTTGTTCTTTATCTTTGACATTCATTTTTACAAAGAAAGACTAAAGTAGAAACTGAGAATTAGGTAAGCACATAAGTGTCAGCTCTGTGAATGAAAGCACAATTCAAGCAGAAAAAGTGAAATATGAATATAAAACAATGACTATCAGTGTTATTAACAATTTCATTACAAAGAGATAGCAAAACAATCTATTTACATTCTGTTTTTATCAGTCACTTTGACATCAAAATAAAAGTAGTATCATGACAGTTCTTCTAATACTAAAGCACCTTTGTCCCAAAAGAGATGTGTATTGTTAGTCATTTTCTATTTTTTCTTTTGTGAATTAAAGATGAAACTGTAAATGGTTTTCTAACAGATTTCTGATTTTTAGTTGTTGCTATTCTTTTTAAATTTAGTTTTTTTTTAATGTACTCCTTTAGTATTTATTTCACTTGATCATTTAATTCAAGGCTTGTTACATTCTATTCATTTTCTGGCAGATTTTACAATCCGTTTGTAATCATTGGAAATTTGCCTGTTAACACATTTTTACATATTTCAATTCTGATAATCATTCTTCTTCCCCTTAATATGGGACAACATGGTCTTTAATGTGTAAAACTCAAAATATCTACTCATCATCCGGGCTTGGGCTCGATACCTTAATCAGATATTTAATTAAAATAACTTACAAGTATCTAAAGAGCTCAAAGAAACAATATTAAAATACTTTTGAAAATTAAATAAAAAACCTGTCTTTATCGACCCATGTTTTTTTGTGCTTGTTGAAGTGTTGTGCCTATTAAGACTTTGGTTTGGACGAGTTAGTCTGCAGGTGGCATTGCTGTATGCGAGACAGGACAGTACAGTAAGTATTTCTGTAGTTGGAATGTGTCCTTTTTCATTTACAGTACGTGGGTGTGTAATATCCTGGTTATGACCCACAGGTGACACAACACTGTTTTTGGACAGATCTGAGGGAGCAGCGACCCAAAAGCCTCAGTTTGTCACAGAACCGGGAGGACATGGTGTTCTTTCTGCAGACCGGACCTGCATAAGAAGGAACAAATCATTAAACACACAAATGTAATGTTTTGTCGAGTCTATTTAGAGGGATTTTAGCCAGGAGGTTTATCACAGAACGCAACAGATACACCCTTTAATTGTTTGTAGTTTTTTTATTAAATCTGTTTATCATATCTTCCACTAAGCCAGACAAACACAAAGACAAACCAAGTGTTACAAACTAACCTGTGTTGGTCTTGCATTCCTGGATATTGCACTTCCTGAGGGTTTCAGGTTTGGAAATCTTTTCACAGAGACTGTTTGGCATTACAGCAAGATCCTGCTCGCTCACACAGTTGACTTCACGCTGCTGCTGACCCCCATTGCAACTCACTGAGCACTGCAAATACACACACACGAAAAATCACGAGACAAATTTCTGTTATTTTATAACCAATTAGATTTGTTTCATGAACATGTGTTAAGTTTGGACCTCAGGCGGTCAGAAACCACACAGACAAGAAACTGGACAAAACAAACATGTTTGAAAAGCACTCCACTTTGTGACTTCTAGGCACACATTGGGCAACCCACTCAAAACAACCTGCGACCAACTCTTGGGTCCATACCCACCAGTTGAGAAGCTCTGATTTAGACCACCTAGGGCCTTCTTCTTTTTGCACAAAACATTTTGAAATGTGACTGACCTCCTCCCAGTCGTTGGCCTTCCACTGAGTGCAGGGTTTAAGGCTGCAGGTCTCTGTGCTGTTTGGCCTCAGTGTGGAGCTACAGCGGTGAGGCTCAGGACAAAACACCAGCCGCTCCCTGACGCCTTCGCCACAGCTGCCAGAGCACTGAGGAGAAACACAAGGATTTCAAGGATGTATCTGCTTTTCGCTGATAACTGAACAAAATCCAATCTCAGTATAACTGACTATTAGAGAAGACTTTAACAACAAGTATGAACTTGTGTTGTCGGATGTTAAAAGGGGATATATCCTTAACCCTCACAATGGATAGCTACAATACTGTACATGAGTATGTTTGCTTGCTAACTCAACCGAAGAGCCCTGCATGAGCAAAACATATATAGTCTATTTTGACTGTTTTTTACATCTAGTCAAAAGGTTATAAAAAGTAAAAAATGTCCATTACAACATGAAATTCACCATTGAAGACAAGCCCTCAACAACTAAGATAGTCAGTCTTCATGATGATGACCTCAATTGCTTTTGTAGAGCCATCCATATTTATTTCAGTCTGTTTTCATAAAAGCTCCTCACAAAGCTCCTCCTGGGAAAAACTCCTCACAGGAGCTTTTCCAGGAACCTCGGCAAATAAACTGGACCTGTTTGCATGACTAGATACCACTTGAGGCCAGTGATGAAGTAAATACAATGTTAATGTCAACATCTATAATTCTTTAAAGCTCCTTCAAAATGGAGTTTATAGAGATTTGATTTGTTTAATGCTCCTACCGGTCCCCAGGGTGATGTACTCCAGGTCATACAGGGCTTGTGGGGGCAGGTCAAGGTGCTGACAGGTCTGCTGGACACAGCCTGGCAGTGGAAAGGTCTGAGGGGACGTTTACTCTGAGAATCAACACACTGGATGTCCCGATATCTTCTCCCCACCCCGCCTGCACAGTTATCTGGACACTGTGGAGAACATCACAAACATCACAGTGAGGAAATACAAGACAGAGAGAACTGCAAAGGAAACAAACACATTGCGTCATGCGGAAGAGTAAGACTTAAGAAGTGGAAGATTAATTAAGTATTGAGTGTACTTAAGAAGTAATACGTGGAACAGTCGGATTCAGTGACTTCAGGAAATCTAAGGTTCCTCACCTTGCTCCAGCTGCCACTCTGCCAGGTGGCACAGGGCTGCAGGTGACATGTGCGCGCAGGTTCAGGTCTCTTCATGTTGGCACAGTCGTCATCTTTCTGAGAGCTGCACACGACTGTCCTCCATATCGCTCCGATACCACATGTTGTTGAGCACTGGGGAGGGAGGAGGTACGGATTCAAACTCGGTTTAGGGCTTCTAAATTCTTAGGTAACAAACTGATATAAGTGAAAAGTGATAAGATGTAAACATAATATTTAAGGAATAAATTACTAAAACAAACATCCAGAAATATGTAAATACTGTACTTGTGTTATTTAGTTTTTTATACGCTGATTTCTAACATTCTTCTAAATTGTTCATATTAAGATTTTATACCTCAAAAAGTCTGGAACATAACTTTTCACTACCACATGAACATTAATGTGCAGGTTACTGATTCACCACCAAACAGTTTTCTTTATTTTAAACCAGTTTGTTTTAAACTGTGGTTTAAAAATCTTCAATTTAGTGAATTTGAGGGTGCTCCAACTTGACAGTCATCTCTGAAAAGGATCTAATCAATATGATAGTTCTCCCAAAATCAATATGTACCATCAATGTCTTATTTGATTTGTGGTAAGCTTTTCAATGATGAGAGTGAGTCCTCTGAAGAAATCCCTTTCCAAATATCTTAAAACTCTGAAAAGGCCCAGTTTTAATGTCTTAATGTAAAAGCTTAATCATTTGATTTTAAAGTTACGTTTTTTCAGTGGGAAGACGAATATGGTCATATAATATCTGCACTTACCTCACTCCAGTTTCCCACAGCCCAATATATATCCATGCTGACCGTCTCCCTGGCCGACAGGTCGCTTTGTTCCCTGGGACTCTGCTGTCCCTGGTTTTGACTCTTTGACCGACTACCTTTTGGCCAAGAAGAGGGTTTTTTAGCACGAGTGGTGGGACTGTTTTTCTTGGGTGTCACAGCAGGCTTCTTGAGTTTGATGATCTTCACAGTGGGCTGGGGTGAAGCTGCAGTGGTGAATGGTTTTCTTGCAGTGGAGTAAGGCGCTTGTCTTGTGTGGAAGTCCTTGTGCACAGACGTTGGGAGGGGGACCCTGTGTGTCAAGCGGCTGAACGGATTGACGCGAGGGGTGGTGTGGGGAATGCGGTGAGTGGACTTTGCCCATGTATCAGTGGTGGTGTGTGAAGTGGAAGAGATGCTGGAGGTAGTTGTGGGTGCTTTGGTCATGTGCATGGTGGGTGGACTTGTTTGTAAAGTGGGTGTAATGAGTAAATGTGGCCTTGGTGTGGTTGATTTAAGTGGATTTTTGAGGGATTTAGACGTGGTAACATCCAGGTCAATAATGCCCTCCTCTTCTGCTGTCTTTTCTTGAACAATGTAATCATATCCTGGAGTGTACATCAACACATTTGGCGTACTTCCCTCCTCTCCTTCCTCCCTCTCTTCCTCCTCTTCCTGTCCCACATTGTCTTTTTCTGCAGAATTTGATTTCCCTTTCTTATCCTCAGTTTTACTCTTTTTATCATCAAACACATAATCATCTGCATCTATGACTTCAGGGATCGAAAGAGATGTGGTGGTGGGGATGAAAGCAGTTGAAGTTTCTGTGGTGGTTGTTCTCTTCCTCACAGTGACAGCAGCTGTGGGTGCAGCTGCGGTGGTGGTGCTTGCCCAGGTAGTGTTGGCAGGAAGCTTGGTGGGGTGGCTCTTAGGTGGGTAGACACGGCGGTATTTAGGAGCTGGCCCAGGTCGTCTACGCAGACCTAAGTTAGGGCAGCTTTGAAGAGCACACAGGGACCTGGACCGAGGTCTGGTTGAGAGGTCGCAGCTCTTCTTCGGTGCTAATACACATGTGACTGTACGTGAGCGAATGCTTCCTCCACATGTGACTGGGCACTGCAAAGGAGGAAATGACACTTTATTCAGAAAAAGGCTCTGTTGTGCAAGAACACGGTGAGATTAAAACTGCAAAAATACAAGAAAACAGGACCAAATAATACAAATATACAGTAGATAAAGAGCATACCTCTTCCCAGTTGCCAACAGCCCAGTCCAGTCCACAGGGCACATCCCTGTTGCACGGCACCACAGGTTTGGGTTTTAGGAGATGCTTACACTCCACAGGGTGCAGCACCCTTTCTTCCCCTGACACAGTCCGAACACAGAGCACCGTTCGCTTTCGTATCCCCTCTGATCCACATGTTGCTGTACACTGCTGCCAGCCGCCTACCCACCACCTGTGGGAGAGGGGATGGATAAAAGAAAGAAGCTGTTTTAATGGTTCTTAAAAAGTAAAAAGGGTCCACAATAAAAATAGACAGTCTTGCTGCCTCTCAAGTAATGAAGAGTGACGGTATCACTACATAAGGAAGTATGTGACATTCAGTAAATATGTTTTTGATTTTATTAAATTATGTTTAAAAGAAATAATCTGGGGCGCAGGTGGCCTAGTGGTCAGGTCGCGTCCCATGTACAGAGGCCATTCCTCAAAGTAGGCGGCCTAGATTCGAATGAGGCTCCTTTCCGTGGTTTCCTACTCTATCCACCGTCCTACTTTATCTAATTAAGTACCCCCCACCCCCTGCCCCTATTTATATATATATTTCTGTCATTCCTCAAAACATGAGGTTTCATGCATCCCAAAAATGTAAAAAGTGTTTCATTGAACTAATTAGTTTCACTTGTTTAAATTTGCTATTTGTCATTTTGAGGTTAAAATAGTGCTGAGAGTTACAGAAAAAAAGACTGAAAGAGCTTTTGAGACCTTGCTGGGCAATCCATAGTCTTGCACTTTCTATGTCTGTCTTCTAGACGGTTATCTGGGTCACACAGAGAATCATCCACCACACCCATATCCATCTCAAAACACCGTGCAGGCTGGTGCTGCTCACCTGAAACAGCATGAAAGTCAGAAATCATCACTTGGACAGAAAAATGGACTTACCATCAAAAAATAAACCTATCATAACTTTTGAACTCATAAGATTTTTTTTTCATGCCAATAAATCACCAACCTATTCCACAGGTGGTGCTACAGTCTGTCCACGCCCCATGTCTCCACCTGTAAGTTGGCTCTATGACCTCATTTCCTGTCCCTTTGGTCTTCTTAATGGTGTATTCATATGTTATACCTGAGTTCTTCTCCTGAAACAGCAGCTGGAAAAACACATTAATTTTTTGTAGAGAAAATGACTTAAAGCATATCAAGATGATCTACATGAAACATCTGACATTAATAACAACATATGTTACTCTCATCAATATGATTGTAGTAGTCTTTTGTTGTTTAAGCACTCTTCGTTTGAGAAAACATTCTTTTGCAGACATTTAATTAAAATATGTATGATTGGTTATCGTTGATTTGTACTGTGTCCTTATTGGCTGAAATAACTCGTAAAATAGAAGTAAGGGTAAAGTATAAATTACTGATTACCTCTACACACTTCAGAATAGATTCAAAAGCTGCAGAAATGAACTGAAAATTCAAACACCACTAAACCTCTTTATCACAATGGCCTACCTGCAGCATGACTGGCTGTTCGGTGGGTCCTGGAGCGGTGATGTTCTCCATGTTCCCGCTGCGTTCATAGTAGAACGTGGTCCCCCCTGCCTCGTACTCCCCGTTCCACTGGATAATGTAGTTGCCGTTGAGGAAGTACTCGTCCTCGGATAGCCCGCTCCTCAGGACCAGGAAGTTACCTGCCTCCTCGACTTCCTTTACCAGGATGTCCCGCGCCCCCGCAGGTATCACACCCACGTCCACATACCCTGGGAGAGTGGGGGGGTCAGAGTCACAGCGAGGTAATAGATGGCCCACCATGGCTGCTGCCACACTCACATCCAGACAACCAGACAGTCTCTCTCTGATCTTTAATAGAGGGTGGGCTGAGTCTGTGGGGGTGGTTGGCATGTATGTGTTTGTGTGTGTGTGTGTGTGTGTGTGTGTGTGTGTGTGTGTGTGTGTGTGTGTGTGTGTTTGTGTGTATTCGGCGTGGGGGGCACTACCCTGTCTCTGTTTTTTATTGTGTTTAGATGGGGGGCTGGGGCTGGATGGGGGAGGACGAAAGCAGCTATGAGTCGGCCTCTGGAGTTTAATGATGTTTGTGGGAAGGTGTGTGTGTTTTCTGTGTATGTGTAAAGGAGGGGGGAGGTTTGCTCTTGGTCTGAGCCTTTTGAAGTCGCACACATCTGGGCTGGTTATCTGGAAAGGATGCTGTGTTGAGCTAACACACAGACGATACGAAAGAGAGAGGGAATGAATAAAGGATGTTTTTATTGTTTAGAGCCTCTTTGTCTATTAATCTGTCCCTGCCATGTGTTGATTTGAATGATCGTCCAAACACACTTCAGTAAAAACAGCCAAAGACTCGTCTCTCTTTGGACAAAACATTGGACCTGCAGACACACACACACATCACACGAGCCAAGTACATCAGGACAAACAGCTGCACAGTGTGGACAAGACAGCTGCCATGACAACAAAGAAACAACACAATGGTGTAATCCTAACGAACTGTCCTGAAATGACTTTCCGCCTGTAGACACAAATTTGAATTCTGCGCTTTTTCACACTCCTCTGGTGGGTACATGAAAGCTTTCCCTCATTAAAAAAGTTTGCCTGTTTTGTGTTACTAGAATTCTATAATTTTATGAAGTCCCATGTCAGGATAATTCAATTTGTTCCCAGCTGTTCAATTATCCCTTTTTGTGTGTGGGACTCACCAAAGCCTTCTCCATCATCAAACGACTTATGGATCGTCTCACAGCTTGTGCCGTCGCCCAAACAGACTCCACAATGGTCCGCCACTGCGTTTGAGTCGATGCCATAATCACAGCCGACATCCTGCAGACAAAACACACACACACACACACACACACACACACACACACACACACACACACACACACACACACACACACACACACACACACACACACACACACACACACACACACACACACACACACACACACACACACACACGTTTAGACACAGAAACATTTCAGGACACATGAGATAACAAGTTTGCACAGAAAAACTATTTTATTACAAAATGATACTGTAGCACTGCAGCTTGTCTCATATCCTGCCTCACTATATCCCCCCCAGTCTCTTTTTAGTCTCTTACCCAGCCACACTACCTTGCACACTCCATTGACGCAGATGTTTCTGGACTTGTTGTTCATGAAGCACGGCGTCCCGTCCGTCACTGCGTCAAGCATCTTCTCTGAAAAATACTCGCTGACTGGGCGACAGTGCAGCTCACAGGGGTGTACTGAAGACGAACGAGTGTTGAGAAAAAAAGAGGGGTTTGGTTTAGTCTCATTCTAGTCCAATGCTGACAGTGCAGTTTACTATTTCATGCCCAACAGCAACGTATCAGGGATGCATGATGAAGCATAGTAGAGCTTCAATCAAAAGTAAACTACATTTTAAGTCAATTGATAGTAAGATCATCACCAAATGCTTGAATAATTCATCAATCCTTCAATAAAATTGTGATGCAAAAAACAGCAGGAAATGCTGTCTTGAGACTCTTGAATATTGATGTCTTTTTTATGATGTTACACACAATTGCTGAGGGGGAAAAAAAAAACACATTATTAGCTCAACATCTTTTTTATAAAGAGTCATTTCAAAATAGTAAATACACATTTAAGAAAGAAACAAACATCATTCTAAACTCTCTTTGCTGTAAGCTGAAATGTAGCAGATGGGAAAGCTGAGTCACTAAAGGGCTTTCCAGAATAAATGCTGCCCCCTGCTGGGTGACATAATCACAGCTACAGCGCTTCAGCGATATGAATAGGAGGTGAAGTGTAAAAAAAGGAAAAGCCAAGTTGTAACGATCTGTAAGTGTTTTTGGAATTGAACATTTAAGGATTTGACTACTCACATGGGTTAGCTACAGGAATCCACTGATAGAGCTCGTTCTGGTAGGGCACAGTGTCAAACTCACTGCACAGCATCTCTCGAAAGGTGGGCGTGTTCTGCTGACAGGGTTTAGTGTTACAGGTTCGATAACGTTTCCTTTCCCCTGTGCAGTACTTCCCCCCGAACTCCGGTCTGTGGAACACAAAAGCATCATTTCAATCCAGCATGTTATCAGAACCATGGCAGGATGTGATCTGCTTTTGGAAGAAATGCCTATAAACGGCTGAAGGATTCAGCTGATTCAAATGGGCTTCATACTTAGGGTTGTTACATTCCCTCTCTGCTGACTGGACTCCAATCCCACAGGTCCTGGAGCAGAAAGACCAGGTGCTCCACTGTCCCCAAGCTCCATTCACCGTCTCTGGCAGTTTCCCCACAATCACACACTCTCCACTGATACACCACTGAAAGAGGAAAAATGCTGGTAAGATCACTCAAACAGCAAGAGTAATATGACTCATTTAATACTCTGCTTTGGCTCTGCAACAGTACCGCCCTCATATCATTGAGCAAACCATATCCATCCCCAGGCTAATGAAATCTAATCCCTAACAAGACAAAGAAACCGGCACATCGTCATTCACCTTCTCGGGTCCACAGCGAGTGCCATCTATGGGTGAGTCCAGTTTGGAGCGACATGTGCCGTTCACTGAGCACCAAAGAATCTGGCAAACATTCTGTAAGAAAGATGTAATCCCAAAACAATCAGATCATTTTCTAACAGACACTTTTCTGGTCATGCAGTTGGTGCAGAATACTCACATCAACTTCATGGCAGAAAGTAGCATTGGGGCCATACTGGAGCTGGCACTGGTGGTGTGTGGTGTAGCGGACTCCGAGGCGAGCCAGTGGGGTGGTCAGGTCCCTCTTGGAAGGACGGTCATCAAGACAGAAACCCCACCCTCGACTAAAACAGACAAACAAAGAGGGTACAAAACAGGCACAAGGTGTGGTGAAGGAGATACGTTACAGAGAAATAAAAGAGAAAACCTGAAAGGTCAATCATATAAGACTTTGGCTGGGAGTTTTATGAGATTTGTATTTTTATGGCTTCTAGCAGTTTATAAATTAAAAAAAATATGGAACCTATTTGATTTCAAGAAAACAACCATAAAGAAAGCCATAATAGCTATTCTTTAAACCTCCTAAATTGATTCTGGCACCCCCTGAAGCGGTTCCTTTATAACTTTGCCGGTCTTGTTATGAAAATCTCCTCTTACCGTCTTTTAACAGTCAAATAAATCACTCACTGTTCCAGCAGTCTGCTGTTAATCTGCTCATCTGAAACACCTACCTGGCAGAAATTGTAGGAAATAAAAATAACAAAACGTTCTAATGGTTTCGTTTCATTTTCTAGCTCATAACGAGGGTTTATAATAATTTCAGTCTTTTACATAACCAGTTTAAAAACTCCTCACAGGAAAAAACAGCTCATTTTAAACTCTACGCTCAGAAGAAGTTTGAGACAAAATTGTTGTTGCAAAGAATGAATTCTTAACTTCATCATTGACTCTGTCTTCAGAACAAAATAATCAGGGTTACATTTGCAGATATTTGTGTCTGACTTAGTGCGACTACCCTTGAATGTTCTTTAAAGCTCTTCTTGCTTTCCTCTCATTTGCTGGATTTTCTGGCTCCATATGAATCGTGCTTGTTCAGCAAACTTCTGTTCTATGTTACTATTCTAAAAACTGAGTTTGTCACGGTTTGCTACTGATCAATGTTTTTATAACTTACTTTTGTTCCAGCACACACCACACCCATTGTGGTTTATGGATAATTTTCACCTCCTACATTCAAATCTGCACAGGCATATCCACATCGTAGTTCAGAATGACTCCCATGTTTTCACAATCTTCATTAGTCAAACAATATCCACACAAAACCCCCCACAACTGTTTCCAACTGAGACAAAACAGCATTCAAATCTGAGCTAATCGTGTTTTTCTTTAACGACTCAGCTTCAGAATAAAAACATGAATTTAGCCTTACTCTAGAAAGCGTGTGATGTATTCTTTGGAGCAGGACGACCAAGTGAGAGGCGAGCTGTCGTACATCAGCTGTCTGGACATGATGAACGGGTGCCGCCCTTCCAACTCACAGTCGTTCCCCTGGCCGTCATGATGAATACCAAAACTGGGTTCAAACACAACCAACATCAACAATTATTAAATTATCATTATAAAAATACATGTTCCACGGAAACAGATGGTCTTCGTGTTGTGGCTTGTATGGGGACGCCTTAAAACGTGCAAGTAAAACATTTGCAATTTGGTTCAAGCTAGGTGTTTAGGTTAAGTTGTGAATCCAGAAACTCATAATATAAATATGTTTTGAATTAATCTTTGCAGCTTTAATGTAGAATAAAGACATCGTATTTGTTAACTCCAGTGTTCTGATTGAACTGAGTATGACGCTACAACTCTGAGATGCCCTGGAGGAGTAAAAAAGGGATTAAAGACAAATTGATTTTCTGTCACAGAAATACAGACATGAAAACAAATTCTACGTGTCTTTCACTGATCTTCTGCCACAACATAGCCATCGTCTCCAGTGAAGTTATTTTTTGTGCTGTTACAATACACTTACTGTTATTTGCATACATCCAATACCCCTAATGAATTCATGAGCTAATGCTAAGGGATTAAATGACCACCAAACTGTATTGTTAGGCTTCTGTCACAGATCATAGCAACAAGATGCTCTCTTTACACTGATTTGTGTTCTAGTCCTATTTTCAGAGAAATTCCTTTTAATTAGCTATTTGGTGCCATTAAAAGATGCAAAATCATCATCATCATCAACCTTTATTTAAGTTCTCGGAGAGATCATTGAGGGCGACCTTCATTTACAATGATGCCGAGAAAACATACATAAATGATAAATAACGAGAAATTAGATAAAGCTACTACAGAAAATAAAATCAATAAGAGAGCAATAAGAACAATAAAATATATACACTAAAATAATTTAAAAGCTTGAAATTACTACAGTGATAAGTCAGTCATTAAAATCAAGTAAAACAGTTACAGTCAGGTATTGGGCGGTTCAAAATAATATTTCTGCAAGTGTCCATAAGGGATAAAAGTGCTCAAATTCAGGTCCTGTTGTAAATGCCATGAGTGACAGCTTTGTTGATGAATGCAGCAGAAGCAGCACTGTTTGAACCGGATAAGAAGTTCAGGTACGGGGAGAGAAAATGGAGCAAACACTAACACAAAAGTCTTTGAACTTTCCATAACTGTGAGTGTCTGCTCCAAACTGACACAAGAATCTGTTCTGCTTTGGACTGTACCGATCTGCGCCTGTTTCTGGGATAGTCTGGCTTCACTTTCTCACAATGCTAAGCGTTGGAGACAAGTTGTCCATCTTTATATACATTCATTGACATCAACACATACAAACACATACACAAAGCGAACACACAGACCTGTGGCCCATTTCATGAGCGACGGTAAAGGAGACAGGTAGACCTGAATCCTCGTTGATGTTACAGCTTCGGTGTGGCTGACACATCCCAGACAGATGAGACAGACCCAGGGTCTCACAGGGCTGGTTACTGCCAGCACAGATGTCTTTCCTGGGGAGGGGGGGGGCACAGGTGAAGAGTTAGGTGTGTTCAAGCAACAACAACAAAAACGGTACAGAGCGTATCATTAGCCAACTTTGTTGAAGTTATGGCTGTCCTACAAATACACTTGTGCTACTTGCCTGGTGATCAACACAGCCACGTCATGATGAGCCGGGTGTGTGTCACTCTGCGGGTTCAGGTTTTTCTGCCAGGCACAGAAACTAGACAAAGTGGAGTCTGCATGGTGAGCTATCTTTAACCCTTTCTGCAACAGACAGCAAAGGGAGAGCTTACAGTTAGCACAGTTAGCGTTAGAGCTACGTATTCATTACATAGTTGATCACAGCATTTTTATTTTGATGGTAGCCCAGATCTATAAATAGGATTTGTTTGGGGATAGTACTTTTATTGGGACAAGGAACACTGTATACTGAGAGCCAGACTTTGTTTGAATTTTGTGGTCTGACATTCACGGTGTATAAATATCTTGGTACTTGGCTCAATAATCATCTGCATTTAAAAAACTATTTGAAAAACCCAATGAGCAATCTTTGGCAGAGCCTCAGATTATTTATACAGAAACAAATCCAATATATTCACTCTGGACTTGGAATATCTGCCTTTAACTTTTGTGCTCTAAACATGTGGAATTATTCCCAAAACACTAACAACTGACAGACTAATTTCTCTTGGAGGAAACAAGTTTATCATTTCCAATTACTTCACCTTTGTGTGCAATTGTTTTCACTGAGTAGTCTTCTTTTTGGTTTATTTTGTTGTTTTTATTTTGCATTTTTTAGATATCATCGTCATCGTAAATGAGGAATACCTCAATGATTTTTCAAGGCTCAAATAAAGGTCGATGGTGATGGATAGAAATCAAGGTGATTATGAAATGTTTAATGAAGCTTGAATTTCCAGCTAGTGCACAAGGAGCATGAACAAAAGCCAAACGAAAGAGACTCTCCCTTTTCACTGCACCCCCCCCCCTTGCATGTGGTTGTTACAACTTCAATGATAATCATTTTAAGTGTTACCTCGTCTCCCTGCAGGAGAATGAGGCGAACCAAGATGACATGGATTGCATTCCCAATACTGGCATCATGAAAGATCCCAGCCACCTGTCAATGTAGAAAATCATTTCACTCCACTTTAGTATACACTGAACATTTGTGCAGAAACTTTGAATAAATGGGGAGTCAATTCTTTCCCCTCACCATATTCATGATGGTGAAGATGTAGGACTCCACATTATCGCTGCCGTGGTATTCTATGAGTTTGGAGTCAGCCACCACCATGGTCTCCACCCAGCGCTCTCTGCTGACCGAGCGCTGCGAGCGTGATTCCCCCCTCTGCTGCTCCCTCTCCCACTCCTCTCTATCCCGCTCCACCTGCACAGAGTCACTTGGAGCATCTAAAGGCATAGATAATAGGAGACACTTTGCAGTACACTTTTGGCTTGTCCTTGTTTGACACAGAATATGCTCACTTGAGTACGATTACACCAACATTTGCAGGACTGTACGATCCAGAAAAAAAATTCATATACATACCTAGAACTCCGCAGGGGCTGGGTGTTGTTTTGGACTGAAGACTGCGTTTTTTCCTTTGACTTTCAGTTACTCTTGGATAGACAACATGAGGCTCTGGAGTCCCTGCAGGCTCATCAGGAGAGTTCTGGACAGGTTCAATAAAAAAGTGTCCCTCCGGCAGAGAGAAGAAGCCCCTCTGAGGAAAATAAAAAGACAAATGTGAGGGAAAAAAAGAGCAAAAGCAGAGCGAATTGTATGGTATTTAAAAAATCTGAACGTTATGCATTCTCAGTCTGTGACCTGAACAAATGAGTTGCAGCCCAGTAAGCGTGCTTCTGCGTTCTTATGTTTATGAGTGCCTGAACAAATCCCAATAAATGTATTGTTTCAATAAGTCAAACACTTAAAAGGTGAGAGGTTGGACTTTTTCTTGCACTGTCGGCTGTAAAAGACCATTTCTCAGTCATTTCCTTCATTAGTCAACAGATCTGAATATGAACCTTTCTCCTTCCCCGAGGCACATTCTCTGTCTGCTGCTGCAGTAATAAAGAGACTTTTTCCATGCCATGCATGTTCTTACTGGTGAGGTCTATTTACTCGCTGATGGTTGAGGTCTGCTGCTGAACACACACATTGAAAAGTACAAAAAACAGAAACAGACACACCTACATGACCACATAAAAGCATGCAAACACAACAAAACAGGCTTCTGTCCAATCTTTGGCTTTTCCTTGTAAAATAAAACGCGTTATAAACGTTCCACCTCCAGATCACTGTTTGCAAGCTCTATTCATTGAGATGATTGTGTGAGTTAATGTGTCTAAGTGAGTGTGTGTGTTGGGGGGGTTGTGTCAAGCTGAGTCCAAACAAGCCCAGACTGTTCTGAATGAACTCCTCCCTTGCGTCTTAAAGCAACTCGCAAATGACTGGATCAGAAAAGGAAGAATACATCATTCCGTCAACAGAAAAACTGATAAAAGAAGTTCAGCTGAGTTAATGAATGTTTTCCTTTGTTTTTAAGCATGCATGTGTTTTTTTAAAAGGCATGTGAAACCAAATAATTCTTAAAATAACAATCTTGCTATCAATTATTGTATTTATTCTTAGTGTTTAGGGGGAAACAGCAGATGTAAAAAATTAGGCCATGCAATTTGGCCTGTTGTTGCTCCAGGGGTCTACCCCGCTGCTCGCTGCAGTTATGCACTGCTCTGCTTTCTGGGTCATCCTGACACGTTTTGCATGTAGTCCTAGGGATATGTGTTTCAACTACATGCATACAGCGGCCTGCAGAGCTTTGATTGGGTGTCCCATAACTCCATTCAGGGAGTTCAGAAAGTAAAATCCAGAAAATCCAGAGGAAGACTCCCCCTGGAACGACTGTATTACTCCACCTGTTACACTGCAGCTTGTAAAATAACAAAGAATGTGCTCAAAGAAACATAACATGTAGGTTATAACAATTTGCTAACCTTGGTTATTCCATGTGTAACCACCAGAAGAACAACACTTAAGTAGCAATTGATTAACAAAAGTTCTCTTTATACGCCTGAAGGGTGGTTATCCCCCCCCCCCAGATTAAACACAGTTTTGAGAAAATGTTTCCCACTGACTCAGAGTGTGGCCCTTAGCCAGGGGTCCCTGAGTTGTGGTGTGGACTCATCCACAAAGCATGCAGGGTGATACGTCTGTAGTCAGCTGGGAACGCTTTCCAAAGACCCGGTGCAGAAAACAGCTGATTTTACTGCTGCTTTGACTCTTATTTCATTCAATCTGATTCAAATTTAACAAAGCAATTTGTGATTTTTCATTTGCATCATCTTCTAACTCGAAAAAAAAAAAAATACCCTACACTGCGGTGGAGTTAAAAGTGGATTCTTCAGCCTTCTCTGTCATAATGCCTCGTTGTCTTCTCTTATACGTTTCCCTGAGTTCGTCTTCCAAGTGATTCCCTGCAGAAGAAAGCAGGTGGTGGAACTCAACCAGGAAGGAATGCTACATAGAGGCCCATCCAAATAATCAGACCATCACTCTGCATGGTCTGCTTTATCTGCATACCAAATGCAGTCCTACTGTGCAAAACTTCCTGCACGGATAGCTCGCACAGTGTGTGGTTGCGGTGTTGCTTATGATCCTCATTATGATCCTTAAAATTACCACGTACAGATCTTGTGTGATGTCTGCGCTCCACAGGCGAAGACGACTTGAAAAGGAACTGGGACTTTGTTTTCCATTCAAACAAAAGTAAGGGATTATTCTGCAGCAGTTTTTGACCTAAATCCTGAATGCTCTGCCAGCTGAAACGGCCTCAGCCTGGAGTTCACTTTGCACTTTCGCCACCTCTTTTCCTCCTCCTCCTCCTCCTCTCCATTAATCTCCCTCCTCTGACCCAGAGGAAGCTTGTTGGGGTGTGAGGTGCCAGAGCCAGGGGAGGTTACCATAACACAGGTCTGTGTTCTAAATACACAGGCCATGTGGAACTGCTTTACTTCTGTTTCCTGCTTCTGTGGGTTTTGTAGCACTGGCCAAACTGTTCTGGAATAAAGTGTGTACTGTTACGCAGCCTGTGGACACTGCAGTGATTAGTGGGACACAATGAAAGGTGTGTGTGTGTGGGGGGGGGGGTGCTAGTTACTGCAATATGATTAACCACAACAATTTCAAACAAACAAACTTTGATTCTCGTTTGACTGTTTCTTCATAATGACAGGTTTCACCGCTCCTACTTGCATTCATTTTTTTCTTATACTTCAAAGGATAATTTTGCCCGAGAGCTCATTTATTCCACAGAGGTCAAACACATTATCATTTTTCATCTGCATAGTGCGAAAAAAAACATGCACTGAAGTGAGGATATAATGGGTCTGAACTAGCATGTTATGCCTCAGGGATCACTCAAGACTGCTGGGAAGGCTTTGGTTTTGCTTCCATTAAAGGTTTTCCATAGACGGGACAGTGACAGCAGCCTCCACCCAATTATTCTGCTTCTCACATGTACAGGCAGCAGTGAAGGTGAACAGTAACCTGAACTTTGTAAAGAAACAATTACAAGTAACCTCGATACTGCTCTCTTTGGCAGAGCTCCTTTTGTTTGAGCGCATGTTATAACCTTTTTCTTGACCAGAAGCCAGAGTTTGAATGACACCGTGCAAAGGTGATGATGACGAAGCTGCTCAAGTTTGTGGCTCTTAAAATATTTCTTCATCAACTTTTCTCTGACATGCTTTCTTTCTTTTGCTCAGCACACAAAACACAGCCAGATTACCGATTAGGTTATACAAACCATCTGACTAAACTAAAACGATTGTTTATGGCATGTGTGCAGCTACTTCAAAGCACTCTTTGTGGTGCAATCGTATTGCTAGTCCATTTGCTTCACCACTGAAGCCATGTTTTATTTGAGTGTGAGTCGGCAAAAACAGTATGATTATAAGGATCAAATCTGAGTTGGACCTGAGCAGTTATGTCTTCTAGAAACAATCTTTGATTTATTATTACTATATAAGGAGGAATAATTTGACCAACAGCTCGATTGATAAGTCAATGTGTCTATTACTACAAGGATAGAGGTTTCAGTGGTAATAACATTCAAAAATGAGATATTTTCTATTCTTTTTCATGCAAAATGTCAAATATACTCTGTTTTGAACTTCTCAAACAATACAACTTTCGGCTTTTCTTTATATATATATATATATATATATATATATATATATATATATATATATATATGGGTTTTAGACTGTCTGTTAAATAAAACAAGCAGTCCGATTATGTCAAATTGGGCTCTGTGATTTAGTGCTGCGTTTTGTCTTTATTAAAGCTGATAACTGACAGGAAATGTGGAGAGAACAGAGAGGGGATGACTTGCAGGAGTCCAAACTGCGGCCAAAGCGTAGAGGGCTTTGCCTCTTGGAAAAGTACCCTCCTACTAATGGAAGCCAACGGAAAAGGTTTGACATTTTTTTAATGTTTTATGTTTTTCTACAGCTTCGGGGACTCCATTGTTTAGCTACATGAGCAAATGATTATCATGACTGTATATTTTAAAGCAGTCCATCTCTATCCGTCTCCTGAGGCTCAATGACCTCCACAGCAGCTGGCAGGGTTTCCCTCTAACATCTGTCTGCCTGAGTCTTTCTGTTTAGTCTTCTCTCTGTGGCTTTAGATGTCATAAACCTCCTTCCACACTACAGAAAATCACTCTAATATATCACAGTGGTTTCCTGGGTTGCTTTAAGAGAAAGGGCAAACTGTAACACTAATGGTTGCAGAAAAATCCCTCTGAATGTGGTAGGTTGTAGTTTAGTAAAAGTTAGAGTGATGCAACATACTTTTAGTTAGGTTTTGGCATTGATTTTAGTCTGGATGTTCTTAGTCAGATGTAAAGAATGAACTGCATATACAGGATTTAGCAGATCGAGGCACTGTAACCACACAAACATAACAGAGAGGCAGGAGGCAAGACTCTGCAGGAGAGGCATTCCTGCTGTGACACAGTCAGACATGAACAGCTAAACATTCTTTCGGACTAAAACTGACACATCCCATCATTTCAGAGATGGGAAATCCCTCTATTTCCATGACCTCTTCCTATTTGGTCTTTTTGAAAAATTGGTTTAAAAAGAGCTGAAAAGTGGTTTTTGAGCAACACAAACTTGGTGAAAGTCAGTCAAGACGCCCAATGAGCACCATATGCTTCCCCAGAAATGTTCTCTTTTGCCTTTCTGCTCTCCAGCTGTTTTCTCTCCTTTGAAGATGAAGTACTTATTTGATTTAAACTTGACTCTCGAAGTATAATAAAGAACAAATTCTGTGACCAAAATGTATGGCCCTTTTTCCCCATCCCTCCATCTGCCTGAGCGTACTGCACCAGTCTATAAAAAAGAAATGCCACAATCTGTTACTTCGACTCTTTCTCTCACAGTGCAACAAAGCAGAGCTGACGTCCGCATGCAAAGAGTGTCTGCAGGACCAGAGAGCAGAGTGAGTAAATGAGTGAGGAAAAAAACATCTGAGAGACAAAGAAGACTGAAAGGGTCTCATGGTTGGCCAAGAAGCTGCAGCCGTCAGCGGGTCTGCAGCACAGTCGTTCTGCAAATAGTGTCAGGAAGTCTTTGAAGGGCAAACGAACACATAGGGCACTGTCAGATGGAAGGGGTTTGTTTAACAGCCTATGACTGCCTACTCCACATACCAGCTTCCCCAGAGTGATGCCCTGTTTCTCGCGTGTAAAAAAAAAAACATCTATCACTCCAGATTTGACTTAAAGTGCAGGTTTAAGGGGGACGATTCTGTGTCATGCAGATCAGAAGATGCAATGAATGAAAATGTTTAAATTGAGCTTTTTGCTTTGTTACGCATGTGATTCCTTACCAGGCCTTTACATGTGCTAATAGCAGCAGTTCCTAGCGCACCAGATGCCTCCACAGTGCCGAGGAGGTGGCAGGGGTTCCCTTCATGCAGACGATGCTGCTCCGTCCTGTTGGCGCTTCCGTTCCTCCTCTCCAGGATGTAGTCACTTGAAACCAGGTGATTGTTTGCAGTCAAATTGAACAGTAAAGCGTGACCTTTGTAGTGGATCTTATAGTAAACCTGTCCCTCCAGAGCCTGGGGTCGTAGGTCACGCCTGACTCGCCCACCATTAAAGTGGTGAGACAGAGAGTGGGACATGAAGGCTCCATCAGCGGTTGATTTTACTGGGTGGACAATCGAAAGGTCTGACTCAGAAAGGGAAGACTGACCTGCAGAATAGTGTTGGATAAAAAAAATAAAAAAAATAAAAACACGATATGAAACCCATGTGCATCTTAAAATGTATAGGAACTCATTTCTGCAAAAGCACACCTGTGCATGCATAAAAGTCGGAAGTTGTTAAGTTTAATGGTGATTTAGCTTGCTGGATGTCAACTTTTAAACAGTGAAAAAATACATTCATTCAAGTTTAAACTTCGTCTGGTCCTTTCATTTTATTGAGTGGTGTAATTATTTCACACGTTTTAGCTTCAGTGCAAGTGGCAACAAAGTTAGAAATGTTGAAATACACCTCATCATGCAAACCTTTCCAGTCATGCATTTAGGTCTATACCTCATTCATGCTCAGATAGGCTGCTTCTGCATTGTGTGCACCACACTGACCTTGCTCTGCAAAAAGCGAGAGGAGTCTGCCGGAGTCGGTGAGGTCTTCGTGGCCGGCTGCCAAAGTGAAAACAAAGTGTAACAGCAAGAGAACCGGGCACTCCTGCGAACATCGCATATTTCATGTAACCAAAACTCAAAGCACTGCGAAAGAGTCCTGGACGGAGAAGTTCCAGTGGCATGAAGGAGGCTGCACTGTGTCATGTCATGAAACGAGCCCAGAAATCTGCCCTCACGAAGGGAAACATGCACCGAGAAGCACTGGGAGCCAGATCATGGTTTAAAGAGGGAGAAAGCTCCGGCTCCGAGGAGGAAGGAGGGGAGGAGTGTGCAGTGGGGCCAGTGTCTACTTTTCCTCTACAGGAGCAATGGGGAGCAGAGCAGGAGATCAGGAGGAGGACGCTTCATTTGAATGACTTGAGAAAAGCAGCTCATCCCGACCTGTGTCGAGACTTGTCATTAAATCCTGCAGGCGTGACTATTTATCTACTGCCTCTCCCAAAAACGCTCACGCAAACTTACATGGAGCATTTAGGAGAATAGCCTGGGCCATACTTTAGCGATAAAGAGAGACACTCTTTCGTGACGTCACGGTGCTACATCAGTAGTAGGCCTACTCTAACTTTGAAACTACATCAAGTTAATATTTGGACATTTTTGTATAAAGGCCTGAGTACGGTGACCCTGAAAGTCAACTGCACAAAAACATTTAATGATTGAAAAAAAAAACCCCACCAAAACATTTCACTAAATGCAAAAATATTTGATGAAACATCCAAAAACATTTCACTTAAAAGTATGCATTATCTAATTTAAATATACCAAATGTCTGTGTTTTTTGTAAGCTCTACAGATCTCTTAATTTGAGTGAAACATCTTAAAGTCAAACAATAGACATCCTGTGCAAACATTCTTCACTTTTACTGATGTAGAAGGACAAATGTTTGTTCATTCCTTTTTGCTGCTGTAGCTTATGAACAATGTTCTCCAGAAGCTCTTTCTGCCGTTCTCCAACTCATTTGATGAGTGTTTATTGATCGACCATGGGGCATGAGATTTCAGAGCAGGACTGGATGCCAATAATTCCTTCACACTTGTGAAAATATATATTTTCCACTTCCAACTCTCATTGAGTTACACTGCAAAAGTAAAACAAAGTATGCAGTATCAATTCCTGTGAGATACCTTCTAATGTATTCAGTGCATAATGGAGAAGCCCACTACAGGCAGCCCTGTGTCCTAGAATTAAAGGTCATACACAAACTATTTGCAAAAAGAGACAAGATTGAAGCAGGACATTATTTACTGTTTCCAAATCAAATGTGAAGTCCCTCTGAACAATGGCACAGCGCTCAGGAATTAGGGCTCTTCTGAGGCTTATCCTAAGTAAATACTGCTGTTCTGTTGTTCAGTTGTCTAATACTTAAACCAGAAACAGATTTATGTGTGACTAAATGGCTGCTAAGACATGACACATTTCCTCCTGCCCTTTCTCTCCCCCATAGACATACAGTGTTTATTTTGCAAAGGTTTTAAAGCTTGGCAAATGTGAAACAAGGAAGATATGAATGAGTTTTTCAAAGCTTTTTAAGGTCCTGCAGTTTTGACCTCACAGACTGACTGCCTTCTGCATAATTGTTTTTTTTTTTTTAATCTCATGAAATCTTCTTTGGGGTAGGAAAGGGGTCATTTTGTAAGATTTAGAGCCCTGCTAAAAATAACTTACTTGAAATAAGCCACTGATATTACAAAGTTCCACACATGTATGTGTAATGGGCCAAGTTAGGGTGTTCCCCAACAAGACCCACAAAAGCAGCATGCAACATAAGCTGTGAGCGCTTTGTGTCAAAGCTTCAGGATAAAAAAAAGAGCTATTTTAGAACAAAAAAGCACTGCCTCACTGGAACTTACACGCCCAGACATTTAAGGAGAAATACCTTGTTGTTTACTGGTGTTTTTTATATGGAATGTCTACAGTTAATAGAAAAAAGATCTCTGCACACAAATTGTCGTGATGCCTCCAAGTGATCAAATAAAGATTTGATTAAAAAATGTAACGTAGGGCTTGCATTCCTTTTTTGTTTCTGTGGCAGGCAGCCAGTTCTCTTTTTGAAACTGTATCATTTCCAAATATGCATACAGCAAGCTCTTTGGAATAAGTTCAAGCGTAATATAAATCATCCATATATATCACTCCCAGAGACATTACCCAAACTGACCCCCTGATGTCCTCTGTTACAGTGATGTGCAACAGACTGTGAAATGTCTGAACCTGGGAAATAATCAGGACCTTTTGTTATTCATACAGGAGAGGCTTTTATACAGACATGATTACTCACAAGGCTTCCTCTTGTTGTGGTGAGTGATAAGTATGACAGGCTTGGAGGTTTTAATGACATTAGCATTACTGTTTCCAAAAATGAGTCAGTTTCAAGTCAGCATCTTAACAGCTGGGTGGGAGATCGATGCTCTCAAATAAGTATAGACTGAAAATGATTACATTGTAAATGTGCTTAAAACAATGACATAAAGTTGATATTCTTCCTGAATAACCAAGTAAGTGAACTATGTCTTTAAAAATAGCATTCTAGCATTTTCAGCACCAAGACTGAACCAAAACCTTATTTTGCTTCAATTTTCTTCTTCATTTAATCTCAGGACACTTTCTCTGCAGTTTTCATAGGAGAGCTTCATATACTAGAAGAAAATTAGAGATTAGAAAACTTTACACAATGCAGTAACACAACAGAATCAGAACCAAAATCACAGATATATGAATGTTTCTACATTGAAATGTAAAATTCCTCCTGTGTGGGATTAAGTTTGAATTTCAAATATCATTTAAAGCCCATTCTATTTACAGGTTCACTGTGCTGGCTGGCGGGCAGTATTTCCATGCTCGGCATTTATTTTCCCACGAGTTTAACAATATTTTCTTTCCATTAGCAAGTATTAGTAGGTTTTACTATTCCACTCTTCCCTTTGTGCCCGCAGGAGGCGCTGTCGGGCGCTGAAGCGTGAACTTTGTTCTAGTAGTAAATGGGCGTGCTTACTCTGTGGGCTCAGCTCACTACTTTGAGTTATTCTCCAGGAAGGAAGAACATGGACTCAAGTGTGACAGGTAAGATAAGCCTCTGCAACTCGAACTAAATGCGACTTTTTGTTGTAGCAATCAGAAGAAAACGCAGTTGTGTCTATAGTTTCTATAGTACATGTGATAGTGATCGTTAGTGTGTCTGTGAGTGCTGTCACTGTGTGTTTCTGTGACCTGTGGAGGCATTAGTCCTCTCTAACATTTTTCTACCTCTACTCTTCATGCTTCACTTGTCTTTGTGGTGACTTATCTTGCCTGGTATTTACTCAAAAGTGATTGTATTACTTTTGTGGTGGGTTAAATATACATGACATTACCTTCTTGGGACCCCATTTGCAGGACTGCACTACATCTGAGCCACAGGGCTGCTCTTGTAACACCTCAAGGAATAAGGAGATGGAGGATTTCTGGTCTGGGGCCCTTTGGGTCATGAAGATCTGGCTGTACCTCATCATCAGCCTCATCATGATCCCAGCCATGTTTGGCTTCTCTCTGGGCATTTCTGAGACCTACATGAACATCCTGGTTAAAACCCTAGAGGTATGGATGTTCATGTTATTGTTTCTCAGAGATGGACGGGACATGTTTTCTTAAAGATTTACGGATACTCAAATTCTCATCCCCTTCTCCTCTTCCACAGTGGGCCACACTGAATATACAGGAAGCAAAAACAGATGAACAAACACTCAAAGGCTCAGCTTCTAATGGTGAGTAGAAGACTTTAAAGTATGTTTAAGGTAAACAGAGAAAGAGACATACATTCAGATAGACTTATAAAGAAAAGACATACTTGTTTTGTGGGTACTCTTCCAAAGAAAAGGTGTCCTCATATCCTTTATTGTGAAAGATGGAGGTTTAGTGACAGATATATGTCAAGCTGCAAGACTGGATTTCACAAGATACTCTATGACAAGTCTGAGCAAGCATGTTGCAATGATTTACAATCCACCATTGAGACAGGATTTGAATTATCTATGTAGATTAGGATGTGTCGTTCCTGCATATACAGATACATTTATCACCGGACAAGATCTCTGTGACCTTTGTGGCCGTTTTATTTTGGACTTCAGGTGTGAGTCTCTCTGGCACCATAACTCAGTTAACTTTGGAACTTTTATGATAGGCAACAAGGTGAACTTGCTCTAGGTACTCTGCCTATCTACCAAGACAAAATTACTCAACTCCTTATCAGTCTTCAAGCTGTAACTCGTAAAAAAGAATCCTAGTTATGTCAGCAAAAAGAGGCATTTGAAGAGTCCATAGAAATCCAGTGTTATATTCATTTATTTGTAAAGGTCCATGTACACAAATCAAAATTCAATCAGATGTTAATTCACCTGAGGTCACTGCAAGGCTAGTTTTCATTGGCAGTCCCTGTGTCACATTAGATCTATAAAAAAAAACCCAATGCAATATGTGCAGTAAACAACAAGTGGCATAACCAAAGTCTATTTTAACTTCATAAAAAAAGTTGATACTGATCTTCGGAGTGGAGGATGGAGGATGGAACAGGAAGTGTTGAAAAAGAGCTGCATTAGACATTATTCTGAAAGTTTTGATTGATTTCAATTCAAGGTTTTGGACTTTGCATCCTGGGTGATCAGATAATGTAGGGTAACTGCGCTGTGCGTGGTGTCAGATCCCAGGCAGGATGGCCTTGATTGGCTGAGATTGGCCCCTGAACAGCTCAGCCCTCCTATTATTATTCAGTGCAGAAGGTGAAAGGTCACGTTGTAAATTGACACACTTCTGTGGCAGCTGCAATGAGAGACACAGAACAACACACTATCCTGCTGTATCAGAGCCTGTGGTTCATGTGGAGGCCTATATTTTCTGATGTGAATTCATTGACCTCTGTTTTATGTTTCTGATGAAAATAATTGATTTTCATGTTCTTCAAAGAACATGCTCATAAATGAACTGATTTGTATCTTCTATTGACTCAAACTAACTTTTCCAATGCTACCTACACACAATCTGAGAAGATGTGGTTAGGCTAACTTATCTCTGAAATTGGTATGAAGATAATCATTCATGTCATTAAATTGTGCGTGTGCATGTGTGTGCGTGTGTGTGTGTGTGCGTGTGTCAGGTCTCATCCAGAGGGAAGATGGCTCTATGGAGAAGGAGTTAGAGGAACTTAGACGCAGTCGCCCTAAACCATCCATAGGTGGAGATTTTACTCTCAGCGACTGTTTCTATTTCAACCGGCGAGGAATTGAGAGCATTGTAGAGGATGAGGTACATTTTCACTTAATACCTAAAGACACTATTTTCTCCTAAGTCTTTTATTTAAAGCTGCCGTAGTCTGCTAGTCTCATTTTTGATACCATTTATTTTGAAACTACAGGTGACCCAGCGTTTCAGTTCAGAGGAGCTGGTTTCCTGGAACCTACTGACTCGCACTAACGACTTCCAGTACATCAGTCTGAAGCTGACGCTGGTCTACGGCATCGGCATCTTTTTGAGATACTGCATCCTTGCCCCACTCAGGTATATCAACATTGAATCAAGTGTTCTTACTGCAAAGTGAAGCTGTGGTGATACAAGTGCGGCATTAACTTCTAGTCAGAAACATTGTCTGTGTGGCATGAGGTCTGGAATCAGGTGTTTGCTTTGGTCTTAGACTTTATATAAGAAGAGGACATGGCCTCCGTGTCTGAACAGCAGTGCCTTAAAAGCTGTATTATTTTATATGACTAATGATACGACATCTTGTTTGATTTTTAGCCTCAACAAGCATTTAGGATTTAACGTCTCAACATGTGTGTTATGTGCCTTTGTACATTTTGTTGCCATGTATAGGATAGTAGATGATGTACTTCAAACTTTAAACTTCTTGTTCTATTCTAGTTACTTCATTTATGCACCGCAAAATTGTCGAGATTTTGTTCTGCCTCATTGTCATGAATCGGTATATTCAAACTAGCCATATATTTCATTACCAGATATCAGACTTTGTTTAACCTTAAAGACCTCTGCTATTAAACTTCTTTGCCTTTTTTTTCCCCCCGTACTTTATTTAGTTTTCATTATATCCAAAGGCTGGGGGGAAGGATCAAAAGCTCTGACGACTTTGTGTTAAGCACAGAGCTAGAGCCTGGAGTTTCTTATGAAAATAAAAAGTGAAATACTTGTGCTTCTCTTTCTCCAGGATAGCTCTGGCCTGCATTGGTCTCACCTGGTTGGTCATAGGAACATCTGCAGTGGGATTACTCCCGAATTTGAGGTGATTACGAACTTCATCCATCCAAATAATAGTCATACACAATATTGTACTTTTTGTCTCATGAAAAGTTATTCCCTTTTTAAGTGTTTGTTCTCTCACTTTTTTTTTTTTTTTTTTTTTTTTAGGATTAAGTTCTGGCTCAGTGAGTGGGTCCATGTGATGTGCTACAGGATCTGTGCTCGAGGACTATCTGCCACCATCAGATATCACAACAGGTAAGTGAACGTTCACAATGTGCTAACAAACTAACAAACACGAGTCTTATCTTTTGTCGCTGACTTCATGTGCTCCCCTCATATCAACAGGGAAAATAAACCCCAAAAAGGAGGAATCTGTGTTGCCAATCACACCTCTCCCATCGACATTGTGATTCTCTGCAATGATGGCTGTTATGCTATGGTAAACACTTCATTAGTCACATTTAACAAATCATTCTAAATCATTTTGTATTGTTCTGCCATAATTGTAAAAAAAAAATAAAAAAAATGTGTTAATCAGGTGGGTCAGGTTCATGGAGGATTAATGGGAGTGATCCAGAGAGCCATGGTGAGGTCCTGTCCCCATGTCTGGTTCGAGAGAGCAGAAATGAAAGATCGCCACCTAGTGACCAAAAGGTAAGTAAACTTCAGCACATGTGGAACAACACATTAACAGTATGTGGCTGCTCTGGCACGTCGGGAGGTTTGCGTCTTTTTCCTGGCAGTGAAATCTTCTAAGATTTCCATATCTCTTACTATTCAAACATGAACAGATATGTTTTTGGAAAAGCAGCTACTGAACAGTGACTCATACAGTTTCCAGTATCTACTCATACCACATCTTCACTCGGGCACATGTTCCAGATGTTTGATGTATTGTCCCAAATGTGAAAGAGTTCATCAAAGGTGCACTGTGGAGATATTTATATAGGAAGGACGTGGTTTCCATTACGTCTTTGTGCTGCTTCCAGGTTGACGGATCATGTGAATGACAAGACAAAGCTTCCCATATTGATATTCCCGGAGGGTAAGTGTAACCATGTAGAGAGGTAGAGTAACTTCAGCAATGTTTGTTTTCTGTCCGTCTCTTGTATCATCAAAGATAAGACTCGGTGATTGTTTTTGTTGGCCTCTGTGCAGTGACACATGAGCAGCTTCTTAAGGTAAGTTTGGACTGAGCTCACACAACTCGACCCCCCCCCTTTCATCTCCTCATGTCTTGTTTCCATAGGAACCTGTGTCAACAACACATCTGTCATGATGTTCAAGAAAGGAAGTTTTGAAATTGGCGCAACAATATACCCAGTAGCCATTAAGGTACCTCGGTCCTGACTGTCCTTAAAACCACATCCTTGTATTTATTAAGTTCAGATCCTCACTGCAGCTTCTGTGTTTTTTTTTTTTTCTTCTCCTCAGTATGATCCAAAATTTGGAGATGCTTTCTGGAACAGTTCTAAGTACAGTATGGTCAGTTACCTGCTAAGGATGATGACCAGCTGGGCACTCGTCTGTAACGTGTGGTACTTGCCAGCCATGCATCAACAGGTGGGTTTGACATGTGCTGAGGCACGTGTACAGCCCCGTGGTGCCACCCTCGCCCTGCTGCAACGCAAACACACTCATAGACACACATCACAGTAGACTGAGTTTGTTTTTGTTGTATTTCTAAAATGGCAGGAGGGAGAAGGTGCTGTCCAGTTTGCCAACAGAGTAAAGTCGGCCATCGCCCACCAGGGAGGGCTGGTAGATCTGCAGTGGTAAGTTTGTTTCTATGTTTTACAACAGTTACTTCTGACTGAGTAATTCGGTGACAGGACAAAAGGTGGTTTATGAGTGCTGATACAGGATATAACAGCACTCGAACTTTTAACTATATGTATCATGCCGTCTACTAATCCAAGCTTTGTAGTACTCATTGAAAAACAAGCAATATCAAACCCAAGATTAATATTGGGTTTTTTTCAGCATGACAGCTCTCTCTATCTGATGTGATATTTCTAAATAATTGTGTTGGAGGGATTTTCTTCTCTCATTAACTGGAAACAGTCTGAAAGGAACTGATTATATATGAAGAATCTCTCAAAAATACTCCTTAGAATAACCCAAGATTAATGACTATAAAATGTACCCATTTTCCCTTTAACCTTTATTACATTCTATCAGAACAGCTGTGTGAGAATCCTTTATTATGAAGCTTTGAATTCTCCAAATGGGACTACTTTTTAAATACCGTCCACAGAAGAACGTCTAATATAACCTTTATACATAATATAACTGAAAGTCAAACATTAAATAACAGAGTAATATTCACTGACATGGAACAAGATCAGCGGTATAAAGATTAGCACCTCTCTCAGTGTGTCCTGTGTCTGCCTGTCCGTCTCTGCAGGGACGGAGGCCTGAAGAGAGCAAAGGTGAAGGAGTCTTTTAAGGAGCAGCAGCAGAAGCAGTACAGTAGCATGGTGGTGGGAGACGACAGCAGCGGCCACAGTGACTGAGATCCAGATCAAGTGCACAGTCAAAATCTCAGCCCTGTCCTTTGGAGGTTATACACTGGAAACCAGCCTCTCTCCTCTACTCAGGCTAATGTCGAGTGGACTTGAAACACACTGTGAAACCTCAGGTACAACTTCAGCGAGGAGAGTCGGAGACATTCGCAGAAATCTCATGTGCAATATTGAAATTCATGAGAAACAGACATTGCAAAACGCAGAAACTGCTGTTGTGATTGTATTTTGAAATGATGTGTGATTGTAGATTGTTTTTTAAAACAAATTTTAGTTTACAAAAGGGCTGTCAGCGTTAACTAGTTCATCGCGATTAATTAAGGTCTGAAGTTAATGCATTCATTAATCGCATGCTATGTTGTCCCTTCAGGCGCACAGTGGAGAAGCCTCCTCACTGTCTCCCTGTAGTCACACTGATGGAAAAGCATCTTTGAACGTCTCATTTCACTTTAGAAAAAAACTTGCAAGACAGCACAGTTTACGAGTCAAAATAATATCCACCTTATGACATCATACATTTCACTTTTGTACCGTTCCTTTGAGCTGTTTCACTTAGTTTTTGATCCATAAGACGTTCCTTTTCCCCTTTAAGTTTATGTCGTAAGGAGGTCCTTACTTTGTTTCAAAAAGCAGCTTAAGCTTTTTTTTTCTAATATTTCTAATTTTTTAAATAAAAACCCAACAATTTTTATTTTTAATGCGAAATAATGGAATTTCAAACATGCAATTAAAAATATGATTAATTGTCATTAACTATTGAATTTTATCGATTAATTGTGATTAATAAATGTAATTCTTTGGCAGCCCTAGTTCACAATTTCAACACCTATGGTGTGATTGTGCAAAAGGGAAAGGTAACTTCCATTTTACAACTTACGACACAAACGCCTGTATCCATAATGAGGTGATTATAAATTTAGCAGCATTTAAACATTTGTTTTAGATCTTGAAGTATTTATCTGCAACAAAATTAAAACCAATAAGCTTCTAGAAAAAAAAAGGTGCTAGCTAAAAGACAAATAGCTTGAACAATCACTAATTGAATACAACACTGATTCACAAAAATGTTCCTTTTTTAAGTTGTGTAAAATCAAACTTTGTGCACGGTGTTGGTTATCTTTGATCACTCATTATTTTTTTTTAACAGAAGCACAAAGTTAAAGCAAGGACACAACAGGCATGTGGGTTTGGCACTTAAATAATACATTCAAGTGTTGAGCGTGAGATGCTGAGTTCATTAAATGTCCACACAAGGTGTGACGGCCTTAAAGGAGAACACACAGCTTAGACTTCTTGGATTTCTCTTCACTGGATTCTTGTCCTGAAGTTCGATCCTTGGTGCTGCAGTTGGTATGTGTGGTCTCCTCTGTGGCTACTAAGAGAAGATTCAAGAAGGATTTGTTTTAAAATCACTGTAACTATGTATATGATGACACAATCCTCATATTTATTTTGTTTTGAAATGTCAGCGTTCTCACCCTCATCCTCCTGCTGAACACTTGGAACTGTTTCCTGCACGTTCTGCTGAGAAACAAATGTCACTCACTCACCGTCACAGTACAAGAATGTGTTTGAATTTAGTTATGTGCCTTTTCTTTATGTCAGTACTTACTGGCAACAAGGTAACTTTGTTCCTCTTTTTCTGTTCCTGATATCTGCAAATGTCATCAACAATGAAAACAAGTTATCATGCGAGTGCCAAGTATTAAAGATGAGTCTGATTTTTTTTTTAACAATGAAATTATGTGAACAGCAGCATTTCTTTAAAATGTGACATCCCCCCATTTTTATTTTAGTAAACAAGCCAGAAGAAACAAATGTTTTAGTGAAATATTTATGAGCCTGATTAGTGCCTCACATCTGTGTCGTCTCTTTCTACACAGTTCAGATGACAAAGAGGTTCATGTTGATCCAGACAGGCAGCGTTTAAAGCGAAGCTGCTTTTATCACAGTGCAATAAAAGGTAATAAAGCTGCGTGGTTTTTGGTTTTCTCTGATACAACTGTTTCTCCTGTCAGAGCAACTTGATCTCACAACCTGTTGTCACATTAAATGATTAGTGTCTCTGGTTAACATTTATTTAATTGCATTTTATTAAAAAAAATTATTCCAACTTTGTGATTGTTGGGCACAGACATATTTGAAGTCTTCTTTGAAAGTGATTTAACTGCAGTTAAAGACGGACCAAACGGATACATTTCCTGATCTGTTCATCCTCTATCAGTACAAGAAACATGAAGAAACCAAATTTCCAATTTTCTTAATATGAAGTTTTTATCAAATTTACATCCCCATCATTTTCTTTGAATATTTATAACAGTAGTGTGATCCATTATGTGCTCCTGTAGCATTTGAGTAAGTATAAAATAATCTACCCACATCTGCAGATAGGAGTCACAGTTCCTGTTGACAGGTTTGGTGTTCTTCAGTCCATTTGGCATCCGTGTTGTGCTCGTATCTACTCCTATATCCACCCTGCCTCTAGCTCCAGATGCAGTAGGCATCTGTGTCGGTCAGTGCAACAACAGATTTCAGAAATATAGAACAAAAAAAAATCACAAAACATTTGGATGAAAGTCTGCTGCTGTGAGTGTGCCGTAAGTGAATCTTGCCTTGCAGCGTCTCACACACTCGCTGTCCCTGTTGTTGAGGACCTGCTGGCCACTGTGTGAGCAGGAAAATGTGGCTGTGGAGTTTATGGAGATGTTTGTTGTTGTAACCGTGGCAACAGTGCCCAATAAGAATGGAACAGCAGTGAGGCCTCAGTGAATGAGATGGATACACTGACTTGTTTACTTTACCTTCTTTTTTTTTAAATACTTTATTAATCCCTGAGTGAAATGAGTTTAGACAGAAAGAGAGACATGCTTCTTACACACATACGCCCGAAATACACACATTCACTCTCCAGCAACCAGACCACTGCACCGGGGGTTGAACCGTCCTCCTTCTGGTTTCCAACAAAAGTCCCTACAGACTGAGCTACTGCTGCACCAAACTTATTAAACTTGTTAAAAAGGGAAACTTTTGATTTGTTTCTTTAATTGATCCCCTTGTTCTGAAAAGAGTAAAGTAAGAGCTGTTGTCACTCTTTCAATATACAGAGGAATAACAAATGGTACAACACATTACTAGCCTGCTGTTACTATTATTCATTAGCTGAAGCTACAGATAAAATCACATTGTTGTTTTGTTATTTATTATATCCTGTGACTATCGCCTTCTTTTTGTAGTATTCCTTGACTTTTAATGACATTTTGTACAGTGTGTTGAAGGTATTCAGGCTCGGCTTATGCATCTTAATGGTCAAGATTGTAGTATTATTCCATATACAGTCTGGCTTTATAAAATAAATATTTGTACTCAATAAGGAAGTTTTGAAATGCCCAACATTTTATTTTCTTTATTTAACAAACAGAAAAAAATCCAGTTTAATCCGCCAGTTTAGCATATTACGATGAGCTGACTGCACATATCCAAGTCCTTGTTAGGATTCTTCCTTCTCGTCTCCGTGTGTGATGATGTAGCAGAGCGACTTGTAGTCGATGTTTCCCGTTGGGTCGATGGGAGCCAGAGCGAAAGCCTGATCCACCTACAGAGGTTAATGTATAGGGACAGTTTGACTCGAGAAGATTATTTTCTTAAAGAACATTACAGGAGTCTGTCAATGTAAAAACAGGAAGCACAAACCTCCTCTGCTGTGAATTTATCAGCCTGGTTCATCAGTAATCGTCTAAACCTGGAAAATCATGGAAAGAAATACTCTAATGTTAGGGATAACAGGGAAAACAAAGAACATGAATCTTAATTATGAAGTGTATCTTACTCCTCCTTATTAACAAAGCCTGTTCCGTTGGGGTCAAAAAGTTTGAAGGCAGCAAGTATAGTGTCCTCAGGATCCGTACCTGGAGGAGAGAAAAGCATGATCGTGACTGTTCTGAAAGTTCAAATCACAGATTTTGGATTTTAAGATTTTAAGTTCTCACCATTGAGTTTCTCCCCAAAAAGAGTCAGGAACACTGTGAAGTTGATGGGACCCTTCCCCTCATTCAACATCTCATCCAGCTCCTCATCGTTGACATTAAGCTTCCCTGAAACACACACACACACACACACACACACACACACACACACACACACACACACACACACACACACACACACACACACACACAGAGGAACATATACATGTACAAACATCAAATAACTGTATCAAATGCAATGAAAAAAAAATGTGTTATATCATTAAAGGCTAAGATTTTTATTTTTTAGGAATAACTTAATGAATCAAAAGATAAAACGTTGAATGTAAAATTACCCAGCTGTCCATAGGTCTCCCTTAGATCCTGTTTTTTGATGACACCGTCTCTGTCTTGGTCAATACAGCCAAAAGCCTGAACGGGATAAAACCAAATAAATAGCCATGAAGAAAAAGTGATCAAATTAAATTATCATTTCTTAAACAGCTTTTTTTTTAAATAAAAAGTTTGCATGATGCATTAGCAGCAAATGTTACTGCAATCATTAAACTACTGAAAAGGAGTTATTTCACCCAATTTGGATCAAAAGAATCCCGTCTTCCTGGTATCAGTGCTAATCTAAGGCCGACATTTCTCTCAAAGACCGGACTGTTGAGGCTTCAATTCTGAATATCAATAAATTAACTTCACAATTTTAATTTTAATTTTAATTTTTTTGGTTGAAATGAAAAAAATTGGTTGGGTAAAAAACAAATGACTGCATAACTTGCATATTTACATTTCCTTGTATGAATTTATAAAAGACAAATCACAGATCACATAAATTTCCCACAAAACTTTTTTTTAAACGCAGCCGTGTCAAGGCCAGACAAGACACAGAAGTGTACCTCTTTAAACTCCTGGATCTGTGACTGCTCGAACATGGAGAAGACATTGGAGCAGGACTTCTGTCCTCCCCTCTGTCTCTTATTGGAGGCCTTCTTACTTGCCTAAGAAGAAGATGAAAAAAAACAATTAACCTAATACAATATAACAATTCCATTCTTACATTTTCAGTTTTCTTTGAATCATCACTGACAAAGTATGAAGAGATGCTGACTGACTTACCATGTCTGAGTGATCAAATGTTGACTCCCAGCAGTGGTGTGATGCTGGGGTGGGTTTTATGTATGGCCCGTCTTATCTCCTGCCCTCCTATAATAGCTTCTGGTAGGCAGCTCAGTCCCTTACATGGCTGTTGTGTTTGTTAGGGGAGCTGATAAGAGGGGATGCAGATTCCTCTGGGCTGCAAAGTAGAGATATGAAGAGCAGAGAGGACACAGGGCAGAATGACCTCTGATGTTTATAGAAGTCAAATCCAGCTCCTGGAGTTACTTTAATACAAGTAAATGGACTAAAACATATTCTTCCCTAGTGCACTTCTCTAATGAGTTTCTATTCTCATTTCATACGAGTTTCATTTTAAACATTTTGCTGAAAATGAAATGTAAGCAACACTTCTTTTAAAAATGACCTTTCTTTATTTTGACAGAACAAATCACTTCTTTACATTTTAAGAGCAGAGCCGAGCAAAGTCCAACCTTCTGTTGAGAGATGTGATTCACAATTGATTACTGACTGAATGACTAAGATATGGTATGGTTGTAAATCAACAAGCATTATTCTCATAGACGGAACAATGATGTCACAGTAAAAGAAATACAATTCCCAGGAACAATAAATCTCCTCTTAGAATAACATTATTAAATGAAGATATTATGTTTTAAATGTTCGCCACATTACCCAGCAAGGAAATAAATAGCAAGCCATGTTGTTGTTTTTTTTTTTTTTTTTCTCTCTAGGTAAAATGTGGAGGGGAAAAAAATATTTATATAAAGGTTTAATTTTGGGATTTTATTTTATTTTATTTTTTATTTTTTTTTTTATTAACTTTATTTAGAGATAGGAAAGTGGATCGAGTCAGAGACCGGGGAGAGAGAGAGAGCGAGAGAGAGAGAGAGAGAGAGAGAGAGAGAGAGAGATGCCACATTCATGCCTTCATGCCACATCTTCATTTGGCATGAAGGACTCTTTTACTAGAAAGTGACATAGGGGGTAAAACCTATGATTTAATTAAAACCATGTATTTAAATAACAGATGTGCAATTAAAATTGGGGAAAAAAAGAACAAATTATTTCAGGCAGTACCGTGGGGTAAAACAGGGCTGCAACATGAGCCCAACCCTCTTTAACATATATATTAATACATTCCAGGAAGGACTGCAGAACTAAGGAAAACGAGGATGATGTACAGACTGAGTGGACACAGTCTGGCCATAGAAACAAGCCGTCACAGACAGAACTGAGAGGCCAGGCTGTGTTCACTCTGCCATCAAGGACAAGTGGAGGCAGAATCTTACTTCCTCTTACACTGTGACATGTATAAAGATTTAAGAGAGGTTCTCTTTAATTACATTGATAATAAATATCCTGACTTTATCCATCTCCCTGATCCTCAGAAGCTGCTCTATCCATGTGGAGAGAAAAGTCTGTGTGCAGTACGAGCTGTTAAATATGTTCATGATTGTCACATACTAAGACAAAATACACTGAATGTTTCTTAGAAATACACCGTCAAAATGATTCATATTATTCTTAATGTCTTTTATTCATATTTGTTATATTTGTATACCGGATATATTGTAATCATTTGTTGATCTCCTTTTTGTCTGTACTGCTTTACCAACATGGATTGTTGATCTGTCATGCCAACAAAGCTCATTTGAATTGAATTGAATTGAGAGAGAGAGAGAGAGAGAGAGAGAGTGGGGTATGACATGCAGGAAAGGAGCCCCAGGTTGGAAAAGAACCCAGGCAACCTGCCTGGAGGACTAAAGCCTCCCGACATGGGGGCGCGTGCACTCACCATGAGACTACATGAGACTTCCCCAAGGGAAAAAAAAGTTGAACCCAATTAATTTATGAATTAGGAAAAAAACATAAATGTAATGTACAATATTTTAGTTTAATCACACAAGTCTATATACAGATAATCTTATTCACATCAAAGTACATTTCATAAGGCATAAGAAAAAGTACTAAATACACGCTAACACACATAAGGTTATAAACATAAAATGTATATATGTATAGGTATATTTATGTACAATGGAAGAAAATAAACATTTCATTACAAGACACATTACTACACAACAAAACCATGAATTAGATGAGTCAAAGTTTACAAAAACATTTACAAAATGAATTCTTATCTTGTACATCTCACTACTTTGCACTGGTATTATAACTTACTATTATACATTGTCTACACCCAAACACTATCAACAGGCAGTGATACATAAGCAGCATTTATTTTGAGTGTTCCTGCAACCTAATTTCTGAGTGCAACAGAGAACCGATCTTAAACTTGAGTTACATGTTAATTGGTAATAAACCAAATAACAAATTGGTCTAATACAACAAAATAGTCTATAATCTAAGTTGATAGCTGTATACTTATTAGTCCACCTTTCAGTGGTGAGTTTCCAATTTGCAGAGAAACATCTCTAAAACTAAAAAAAAAAAAGAAAAAAAAGGATATAGCTGCCGACTGTGGATGTCATGTCACCAGTGTTCTCAGATCAGAGTTCAGGCTTGTTTCTCTGTTCTCCTGCTGGGAGAGAGCTCAGTGCACAACTCTGTTTAATGTGTCAGCATGCATGCTGCCATCTTACAGGCCACCGCTGAGATAAGAGCAGCTCCACGACCACTCCCCTCCTCCGACTGGATGAAGGTGATCTCACAGTGAGGAGTGAGGTCCCTGACGATTTTGTGGAACCTTTCACGGAAACTGAGAGGAAAAACATTTTTTTAATCAAATGTCCATCCATCCCATCTCCTTTTTCTCATCATGTATCTCATCATGAATTAACTCTGATTATGAATTCCCCATCAAAAGAGTGACTGCAATTGAATTTGCATTTGATTCATTTTTTATTCTGTATTTAAAATCTAAAACAGAATGCTTTCCCTCACCATGGGTGTAGTTTGTAGACAGATCCATCGACCCCCACTGTGATATTCAGGGCTTCCTGACTGCGTCGCTCCCTCATCAGATTAAGGACACCAGCAAGACCTGCACCGCACATATGGGCAGAGCGAGTGGAAACACTCTCACAGACCAGACGCACGATGTCACAGTCCAGGTCTGAAGGCAGGACACCCAGCGAGAACAGAATGTTGTAGATTTGTTTTCTGTCCCCAGCGTCACTGCAGTAAAATGAGAAAATCACAAACAAAACTGAAAAAACTCTACAAAAGTCTCCCAATGCAAAATGTGAATCATGTAGAATGTAAGAAATGTACATGCTAATGTATTTCATTTAAATCACTGATTCCTATACATTGCATTTATCCAGTCCTCAAAATTGTTCCCTATGTTCTTAAAAATATAAATGCTCACAGGAATAGTCTTTATAAAAATAATAGAACTCTTTAGTTTGTGTTTGCCGTACGCTCTCAGATGTCAAATATTCAAAGAAAGCTTCTGAAAATACAGAAGTGGCTAACGACAGCAAATTAAGCGAAATGAATCGCTTCCAGGGATTTCCCATTAGTACTGTTATATAAGCGTGTGTCATAAGCATGCTCTTATATAACATCTCAGGCTTTGTCCCTTGTCCCTCGATTGAAAAAATAGCGTTGTAGGCTATAATTTTCTATCTTTTAATAAATTAACTTTTAAAAAATGTAGCTGTACTATGTAAGTATATAACTGCTTAGGAATCACTGATGCTCACCTCTCAATCTGTGAGACGTAGCGTGTCTCAAAGCTGCCACGTGTCTTCAGCAGCTCTGAGGCTTCCCCGTTAAACAGCAGGTCTTCATTCACCAGCTTCATTAGAACGAGTCTGACCAGCTCACCCATATACTTCCCACTGATCAGCTTCTCATATCTACGTGAGGCAGGAACACAATAAAAGACAGTTAGCAATTAAACACTGAGAAATAGTGGAACAGGAAAGATGTGTATTTAAATGCACACGAGCAAACAAATGACTTTTCCTGAACGGGCTGTGAAAGAAGGGGGGGGGGGGGCGTGAGGCACCGACGTCAATGCTAAAGAGGCTGAATGAGGCTGGCCTCAGCAGTTGTCTTTGTGAAGGGGCTGCTGGTGTAAAAGGTAAACAGTCATTAGCCAAACAGGGACTGTAGCAAGCAAGCGAGAGGGATCATTAATCTGAAACCCCCACCCGCTGACTGGCCGCTGACGTATGAGGGTTCTGATCATTTACAAACACCCTCAGGAAAGTCACCTGGTAGCCTAGCAACTACACAGAGACCTCAGGTGACAGTCAGGTGAGTATGGACACAGAAGGGTAATTTATTCAGAGAAACAATGAGAGATTGATGAGGGGGGGGGGGGGGGTGGCACGTTTTAAATGAAAGTGCTAATCGTTCACCCCCAGCACATTTAAAGACGCATTCCTTTGAGTCTGATGACTAACTCTTGAGTGCATGTGCATACAGTAGATGAAGATGGGTGACAGGCAGCGTTGGGTCATACAAGTTTGGATCCTTGTTTAACTGCCCTGGAAGACTTACAGCTGCCGTCCGGGGTTAATCGAGGTCTCGTCCACCACTCTGTCATACTCCAGTCTGAACTCCTCCAGCTCCCCATTGTTTCCGAACGCGCCCCACTCTGTGTTCACACACATCCGCCCCTCCTCTCCCTCCACCAGCTCCACGGTCCTCATCTCCTCCATGTAACACGCATTACAACCAGTACCTAGTGAAAAACAAAAAAAACCATTAGAGGCAGATGTGCTTTGGTGTGCATTTTTCTGCATGTGTTTTTAATTACTCACCAACAATCATCCCCACTTCACAGCTACGATCCTCGTAGTAGCAGGAAATCATGGTGGCAACTGTGTCATTCACCATGGCAACCACGTCCATCTCAAAATCCTAAATGACAACACCAAATATTACATTGCATTAAGTCACTGTGCTAGATAAAAACCTGTCTTGTGTTGTCTTTTCAGACGGACAATAATCCGTCTTCAGGTTGACTCACCCCTCGTCTCTTGATGGCATCTCTCAGTAAACCCACCACATTGTTTCCCTCGGCCCCAGACGCCTTGAAGCCTTTGGTCCAATTAAGAAGGATACCCTGTGGAAAGAAAGGAGACACACCTTAACATTTTTAAACCCTTTTTAGAGTCTTTCTGGGGGAGGGGGGGGTTAATAATACCCGGTCAAGTACTCCAGTGTACAGTATATAATAATACCTTGTCAATGTCCTCATGTCGTACAGGAAAGGAGAAGGTGAAACCCAGAGGGAGCTTCTTGTGCTTAATGTGATGTTTGTCTAAAAAGTCTGACATACACTCTGCAATGTAGTCAAACAGCTGCAGGAGAGAGAGAGAGAGAGAGAGAGAGAGAGAGAGAGAGAGAGAGAGAGAGAGAGAGATGAGATTTAGAAGAACTCCATTATGATCTCAAATTTCTTATGGATCGATACAGTTCTACTTGATCTTATTTTAACTCTTCTAGATAAACTTAATAGTTTATGTGAGACCAGATCCTTGAGACTTTTTGCACACTCATAGCTCACATTTTATAGATCTACATCAGCTCCACAAACATGCAACTACAAATAACTGGATAAGGGAAATTGAACACTGACTGAAACCTTCAAGGAATTGGGACGTTAAAACGTGGGTAACTTACCATTTCAGCAGTGCCTGTCATGGCGTCTTCAGGAATGGAGTACATCTGGTTTTTGGTCTCCACCTTCCAGCTCCTCTCCTCGTCTGCACCCACCTTCACCAGCATCACCCGGAAGTTTGTTCCCCCAAGATCCAGAGCAAGGAAATCTCCCACCTCTGGCAAAGTGCACATTACATCTAAATACACAATACTCTGCCTGCTTAGGTTACAAAATTAGGTTGAAGAACGAAAACATACCTGATCCCTGAGGGGTGGAGCAGACGTATGTAGGAAGCATTTTGACGCTGGCCTCTTCGTGCGTCTCTAAACGCAGTCCTCTGTCCATCTCTCTCTGCATCCTTTTCATGACTTCTTTGAGGTCTTCCTTATTCAGCCTGAACTCTGACAGGATCTGCTCCACCTGCAAAGAATGGAGAGAACAACAGGTCTTTTCACTTTTGAAAACAAGATGAGAAATCCAAAGCAGTAACAGCAGAGAAGGAATCAGAGCACTGACCAACAAGATAGCTGGAAAAGGATACTACTCTAGGATAGAAAACAATGAAATAAGGGGAAGAGCACTCTGCTACAGAGCGCCCACATACAACCATGTTTTCAATCAAATGCAGGATACAGAAGCACTCCATTCAAACTAGCTTTCGACTAAAGTGCTGAAACACTGAGGCAATCTGTGTATAAAGACGATAGTTTATTCACAAAACAGTCACACAAAAGTCAAAATTACCGGACAAATGAATTAAACCTCCTCAAAGTCTTATTAGACATGAAAATCCAATCTTACCATGAAAATGTTATCAACCACAGAGCTGTAGCTACACGGCATCTTCACCATCTGGCCCAGATGAGAGGTGACACACGGCATCTTTAAAGGTTAAACTTAATGAGCCTCAGTGTGTGTGTGTGTGTGTGTGTTTCTAGGAGTGTGGTGAGTGTGTGTCCGGAGTCAGTGAAGTGTGAGTACCACTGAATGAGAACCTCAGCTGTTTTTATGCCCAGGTGAAGTGGGCTGGCCACACCAGATGCAAATGCCCACCCCTTCCCTGTGTCAACCCATCTGGCCATCAGGGCTCAAATGCACACACACACACAAGCAAGCACACACACACACACACACACACACACACACACACACACACACACACACACACACACACACACACACACACACACACACACATTGGTACACAGGAGTACAGCCTTTGCTCAAAAACAAAATCACCCAAAATTCAACGTGACCTAGTTTCTACATCCTGACAATTAAGATTCAAGCAGAGTCATATTTTATTTCTGGGAGAGAAGCGAAACATATTATGGATCAGCACAGCGTTTATCTATTTTACCTACTACTTGTTTGTACATTCTACTCTTTCTTTATTGAAATATTCTTTTTTTTTTTTCTGATTCGTCAATGACCCATAGAGTCATAAGAAACAGACAGTGTGGCAGATGCTGACTTGTTAAATAGGCTAGTTAATCAATTACAGTCTGAGTATTTTAAACAATTGTACAGATGCTCATAACTAAACCATCCACTTAATATTTAAAGATAATTTGACATTGTGATTTATACTTTCTGAATATGTTGCCTTACATTCTCAGCTTTTAATTCACTTTCGCCAGAAAACAATAAAGTTTGTTGAGGTATTTCTTGTATCATGGTTATTGGATTAAAAAAAACACGAATCATATTCTACAAATGTCAACCATGTCAACTATGTTTATAAAATATTTCTGGTTGCCTTTTAGCAAAAGATGGTTGGCATACATTTAGTAAATATTTCTTTGCTCTTATGTGGTATGGTCTGACTTGCGACTTCTTTACCCACCACTGATCTGACACATCACACACATCTGAACATGAACTTTGTGATGACTCTGAGTTGCTCCATAGGGACATTTCAAAGTCCTGAAAAGGTCATTTGTAAATTTAGAAACATGTCTAAAATTAGAAACACTGTGGGATGAATGACCTCTTCAGCTAGAAAAAAAGTAAGCTTCAGGTGAAGGCCTTTTGTGCTTATCAGCTCCAGCGGTTCACCTGAGCGGAGGTCAAAGATTTTCCAAGCTGTGACCTCTGATCATAAGGTAAGGTGGGGGGGAAGGGGGGGGGGGGGGGCACTGACCCAAATAGAGACATTGACCTAAAGACAAAGAAATAATCAAACACAGCTCCGTTGTTGAAACATTTGTGAAATGTTACCTAGATTTTCAGATTAAATCACCACTTGGGTTTGACAACATTTAATCCACATTTTTGTTGTTGTTATAAGTATGTTTGTCTTCATCAAAGCTATGACACTTCATACTGTGCAGTATATATAATATTGTCAAAATAAATTGAACAGTAGATACAACACTCAACTGATTCCCTTATAAACGTCTGTACTTGTTCATGAATAGTTTAATAATATATTTTCTGTAGGAAGGCTGCTCTGACATCAATATGATGTTAAATCAGGTATTTTGCAGTTGGTTATCTCATTGGTTAACATGACTTAAATTCTAGATTACCATATTCACTTTTTTACTTCTAAACAAGACTTAGGCCTTCTTTATTAACATGCTTTAATAAAGACAGTCATGCAAATAGATTTGGATTTGTTATCATGATTTAAACCCCTTATTTCGTATGAGAGTTTGTGAAGAGTAGACATGCAAGAGACACATGAGAAGCAAACTGTGCAGAATATATTAAACCATGCGTCATCAGTAAACTCGACTTGAAAGAAATGAATGTTAACTTGTTTTCTCTTCTTCACCTTATCCATCGTATCACGACGAGGATCAAATCCTGCGAGTCCCTTCGACCATCTGTGCTCTACTGGTTCACTCGTTGCTTACGATACTTTTTGATGCTTTCCAAGTGTCTGCTCTTTACTGTGTTATAACTCGTCGCCCGCTCATCAGATGTGAAGTAAATGTTATCCTTGTTGAAAATGAACCAATGGATTCTATATTCCCCACACCTGCTTACACACTCACAAGGCCCTTTCCAAGTGCTGGGAATGTCACTTTTAGGAAAGCCGAGGAGCTCCTGCAATAATCTTCGTTAATTTCAGATATCGTATGAAAAAGACAAAAGAAAAGTCTTCGTTTTTGTAGCCTAGTTATCGGATATTAGGTAGAAACAAGTAAATCTGTCTTCATCATTGCGGTAAACAAGTCCAGTCAATGTCCACATCAGCGGTTTAAATCAACTCCAAGTAATAACAAAAAAAAAAAAGATTAAAACTTTGAATTTCCATCTAAACCTTCACTCGAGTGACAAAAAAAAAAAATGTAACAGCAAAGAAATGAGAAACTTCCTTTGGTTTCATTTAAACTCAATAGGCTGTATGACCGCAACGAAATCTCGCTGTAGACAAAAAAAAAAACATTTCTCCCCCAGCTGTCAACAGATGCACCCGGACGAGGCTCAGCGGTAACTGTGCCAAAACGACTTCAATGTGTTGCCTAGGAAATGAATTAGGCCTACGGGCACACTTCTGCCATGGAAAACACTTAACACTAAGTTAAGTGGCCAGGGCGAAATTGTTTAATGGAGCAAGATTACCTGAGAAAACATCAATTGAGAATGGCATGTTTTTTGGTGGAGAAAAATCTTTAGGTAGACACACATCGCCACCAAGCTATATTCTAGTCTTAAAGATAGGCTTAATACTTAAAAATAAATAAATAAATAAACTTTTGCTCAATAAAATGCAGCTAAATCGAGCTAAATGCTTTCGGGCAAAGTGTTTATATTTAAATGCATAGGCTACCTGCCAAGAATTATTGCTCCTCCACACAATTCTACACTGCAGTGTTTTGCATTCACCCTATATTTTACCCTACAGACAGATCAGAGTCATACAGTGCTAACGAGCCATATTATCTAGGGCCAATGAAAATGCGTATTCCAAATAATATGGACACTTAACTTGTAGCCTATAAATTTCACATAGGCCTACTTTGTTAGATCTGCCCTCAGTTATAAGCCTGTAGCCGTTCTCTAACACTTCCACACGGTGTGCTGCAGGGATGCATTTCTCGGCATAACATCTGTCGTTTTCTGTGACTGTGTATAGTACTTTATAGCCTATATATATTTTTTTTTTAATAGCCTATATTTTTATATAGCCTACATAGGATAGACTATTTATTGATTTTAATATAACCTAGGCTACTGAATTTTGACAGAGGCTATTGTTTAGTTTAGGGTGTTGGAATTCAGGGTGTCATCCCCAAGTGGCATGGTTCATTTATTTTAACTTAAACCAGGTAAACAAGAAACTACATCTGCTTTTTCAGAGATACACAAGTCAAAATTACATCGTGCATGTTTTAAGGTAGAACCAAGAGTTAAAACATATATGAAGGAGGGGGGCTCAGTTGTTAGAGTCGTCACCTCTCAACCAGAAGGTCAAGGGCTCAATCCCCAGCTGAGCAACATGTCCGATGTGTCCTTGGGCAAGACACCCAACCCCAAGTTGCTCCCGCTGCCTCGGTAGTGGCGGTGTATGAATGGGATTAGTTACTTCTGATGGATGATACTACATAGCGATCACTACCATCAGTGTGTGAAAGGGTGGGTGTGACCTTTGGTCAAAAGCGCCTTGAGTAGTTGGAAGACTAGAAAAGCGCTTTATAAGCTCAAGTCCATTTACCATTTATATTTTGTTGTACATTTCAGGGCGGTAGGACTGTAAGGCTGCATGTTCAGGTTATTCTTAAGTGCCTCATTTAGTTTCAAAAGGACTAAACCTTAAAGGTGCACTATGTAGCCTAGTTTTGGAAGTAGAGAAATGTGAAAGTTGGAGAAATGTACAGATTCTGCTGTATATGTTCATAACTCTACACACAAAAATGGGTCCCTGGAACACTGAAGATAAAATGCTATGCAAGAAGTTATGGTGGTGGTGGTGGTGGTGGGGGGGGGGCAACTGTGAATCTGTAACTCTCCTGGTAGCTTTTTATCTCCAAACAGTGTTCCAGTGACCCATTGTTTTTTTTCACTTGAATAAAGTTCGTGTATTTAATTCAGAATTGTTTCACTTCTCCAACTTTCAAATCATCATCATTTACCAAATCTACACAGTGCCCCATTTAACCTATCATGTCGGAACTACTACGTTGTCGCGTTTTTCGTTCCCCACCGGAGCTTACTTCCTGGTGGACCCAGAGGATCGTGACGTGTTGATTGGCCACTGATCTGGGATACTGAAAACTATTTAGTGTACACTGTGATTGGGTCGCTAAACGCTTGTTATATACGTTCCAGAGTTACATTTAGTGTGTTAAGAAAAGACTTCATTTGGTTGACTTGTTTGTAGTCGAGCAGTTTGCTGCGGATTTGTTTGGTAAGTGATGAGGCCCACGAAGACCCGGATAGCATTTGTAGCTAGCTGTATGTGCTCGACTTGATCCTTTGAGTCATGTATCAAAGTAGACTGAGAGGTTTAGACCACATTTTAGACTTTACTTCGTCTCTACCAAGGACAATAAGTTCACCATTGGGCAGTCGCCTTAATAAAAATAATGACATTCTGCTGCATATAGCCACCAACTCATAGTTAGCTTGATAGCTAATATTAAGGCGGCTAGTTTCACTTCTAATCTCCACTTGACTGAAGTTTCTGTAGCTTTAGCCCCATGGGCAGACTTCAGCAATAAGCTAGCGGGCTGAGCTGGATCAGGGATAATGCTCTCATCTGTTTCTACTTGTGTCATCTTCAGGTCATCAGGGTTGTGTGTGGTTGTTTCTACTTTTGACTGAGTGAGCAGAAGTGATCTGAAGTCGGGATGAAGCTGTACAGTCTGAGCATCCACCACAAAGGAGCGACCAAAGCAAACCTCCTCAAAGCGGCCTACGACCTCTCCTCCTTCAGCTTCTTTCAGAGATCCAGGTGGGTGTGTCTGGTGTTTACCTGCATCTGACTCAGTGTGGGTTTATCTCTCTGTCCTCATAGAAAAGACAATAATTACTTTATTGATCCCAAACTGGGAAATTGTGGCGTTACAAGTAGCAGGTTGTCCAAACACACAATATGAGTAAAAAAACACAATGTTAGCAAATCTAAACATAATATAATATTAACTACAAAGTAAATAAGTACTAAAAATATCAAAACTAAGAATGTGAACATATACAACCAGGATTTAACTAGCATTACTAGTCTTAAATAGGAAGATTAAATATGGAAGATTAAATGTAAATGTGCAAAAACAGAGTAGTAAATGGACAGTATTGACATAAGTTAAAGTGCATGAGTGCAGACATACAATAAGCAGAAGCTATACAATATAACGGCGAGTAGACAGCCAATTGAGTGCAGGGATAATTTGTATGTGTGAAGATGGGACTTTGGATGGTTTAAAATAAATGTTTGGTATTAAACAAACAGCACATAATATAAATGATGTTCCCCTTTACACTGATATATTTCTGTCAGTGATCTAATTGTTTTGATTTCTTCAGTGTTCAAGAGTTTATGACCTTCACCAGTGCCTTGATTGTTGAGCGAACGTCACAAGGAAGCCGTGCCTCTGTCAAAGAACAAGGTACATTCAGTCTTTGTGATCAAAGTCTGAGCTTGAAATCATTGGTTGTTTTTAATAGTAATTTTGTTTTGTTATTATTGAATGGTTTATTATTATTCTGATGTGTGAAGCAGAAATATGTAATAAATATTTGCAAATCTAGGTTTGTTCTGGTGATTATACACTCAGCTGAATTTCTTCATGGAGCCAATGCAAATTAATTTGGAATAAAAGGGTTTACAATAAGACATAATCCTTGGTTAAATGTCAGTGGTATAGAGAAAACATTGTGTTAACTTATTTAGAAATCTTCAAATTTTTACTTCTGCTTTCCAAAATAAAAGTGCAGCAGCTGGATGTGGTTTCTCTTGAACACAAAAGCAGGAATGTTTTGATCATACCATAAATAGTTTCTCTTTCTTTCAGAGTACTTGTGCCATGTGTATGTAAGAAATGACAACCTGAGTGCAGTGGTTGTTGCAGATACTGAATACCCACAGAGAGTCTGTTTTACATTGTTAGACAAGGTGGGTACAAATGTGTGTCAATAAATTCACAGGATTCTTTTACCTTGCTGTCACATTTTAAATCAAGTCTTGGTCCTCTTTGTCTTTAGGTATTAGAGGAGTTCTCCAGGCAAGTGGACAGTATAGAATGGCCCTCTGGTAGTCCTGAAACCATAAACTACAAAGCCCTGGATATTCACCTTTCTAAATACCAGGTGAGTTTGTGATCTGTGTGTCAGTACTTTCTTGAATGACACTGTTATAGTCTATGAGAATGATCAGACTAAGGTTGTATACTGTTAGCAGGTTTGTGTACAAAATATTACTAAATGAGTAGTATGCAATAGCTGTGATCCTGACAGCCTGTTTTTCCTTTTTTTTTCAGAACCCCAGAGAAGCAGATGCAATGACCAAAGTTCAGGCAGAGCTCGACGAGACTAAGATCATTTTGGTAAATAACTACCCACTACTTAATTTAATAAGCTCAATTGTATGCAAATGTTTTTTGTTTGTTTCATTAAAGCAAAACAAACCGGTCTGGACAAATATTACCCATTTCAGTTTTCTGTTAAAAGTGCGTCTTTTCTTTGACCATAATGTGGCTTTACATGCCTGGAAAACAACATAGCATTTCCGGAGCCCTTATCTCGAGACACTGCATTCAATTCTTAAGAAATGTCTTGCTTCTTTAGCACAACACTATGGAAAGTCTGTTAGAGCGTGGAGAGAAACTGGATGATCTTGTGGCAAAATCCGAGCACCTTGGAAACCAGTCCAAAGCTTTCTACAAGACCGTAAGTACAGCAGATTCAGCTCCCTAACACCAAAACACCTGTTGGTTGTTCCCTCTTTTATAGATTGCTGAATGTGTGTCTCTGTGTTCACATTGCAGGCACGGAAACAGAACTCATGCTGTGAAATCATGTGATGCCGCTGCCTCGTCCTCGTGGACACACCTCTCTCTGCCTTTCCGCTTTTCCTACAACTCCCATCATGCCCCAGCCACCAGCTCTCAGTGCAAGGGACAGAATGGACTTTGTCTCATCCAGGATGGGGCTTCAGGATAGGAGCAAGAAAGGGTGGAAAGCAGTGATGGCAAGACGAAGTGCGACCTATCTGGACTGTGACTGATGGGGGGGGCTGAAGCATTGATGGGGTTTAGTCCGGGGGAAGACGTAACCTTTGAATTATTTTTAACCTTTTTAAAAGGGGTTAACATCTGTGCAGTGTTTTAATACCAGCTGAGGACAAAACAGTGTGGCGTTGTGCATTGGTGATGTGTTGTTGAAACGTCTTCAAACCATTTAATTTTCGGATTCAATCAAATCATAATAGTTTGCTTTCAACTCCTAACACTTGAAAGAGTATTAACCATGGTTGTGCTTTTGCTTCAAGGCAACTCTGACAATCTCGTAGTCTTATCTTGTGAATTGATAAAATGCCTGTTTCAGTTTCATTCTTAAGAAACCCCACTACATGGCCCTGTTTATTTACTTTATTGTTCCAATGAGCCTCAATTTTGGGGTCAAGTTTAAAATCTCTCAGTGTGAGCCAAGGCAGCACATGGCTGCTCTGAAGTTTGATTTAAAATGTTCCAATGTTCTTTTCGAGACTGGATTAGGTTACATGGTTTCTTTGCTTTTTCTCTGTCTTATAGTGTTAAAAGAAATCTTAAACATTCCCGCTTTGGGTGAGTGTGTTATTGAGTGATGATGCCTCTTTAAGCTGAGTGAGAGGATCGATGATTCTTCATATATGCAGCCTTATTGCAATGTCGCTAACATGTCACCCCTCACAGTCCTGTTTTAACATTATCTGGTGTCATGAGAAGTTCTGGCCTTCAAAGCTGTTCTTTTACTCTGTGTACTGTAGCTCTGCTTTCCACTCTGATAGCCACCTCACACGATGATTCATACGAAGGGTTTTAAAGGACAAAGACCCACCTAGAGCTCTGGAGTCTAGTCCAGGGTTCAGATGTACCTAAACCTGAGAACCTGGATATATCTAACCAGCTTTTAGAGAGTCGGTGATTCTGGAAAACCTCAGGTGCTGCTAGTTTCTCCTTAAATGGTTTTGAAAAGAGAGCACACACATTCTGAGTGATGTTATAAATTAATTGAATTCACATACTTGGCTTATGTAAGACACTCCACAACAGCTGACTCGTTTTACTGTCAGCACTGTTTCTTTGTATTCCGGGGTGGAGAGAATGATCTTTCTTCAGGAGCTGAGGATCGGTGGACGATAAAGAGATGCCTTCAGTTGTGTACATTAGATGTTTCTCTGCTCGCTTTCTGCTGTGTGTGTATGTGTGTGCGTATGATTTGCTGATATACAACATCTGCAGGCTGCGTTGATGTTGAGTGCCTGTGTGTGAGGATTACTGTGTGTTTGTTGTGCGTTACCTGAACTGCTCTTTCTGCTTTTACAGTGTAAAATTGTGTGCAATATCTCTGCAGACTGTTGGTGTGTGTCCCTCTCTCTTTAAAAATCGGGAGAATCAATGGAAATATATTGACCGTTGTATATTCAATTCTCATAAATAATTCCCATTTGAAGTGTGTCAAAGGTTGTATTTGACATTTGTTAAATTTCTTCTCCAAATTTACACTTCATGTACTGGATTTTAGAATTGGTCAAATCTATGAGGTTAAGCTGTAGCTATTTGCAGGTCAGGTCATACTGACCAGTGTGTCTTAAACAGTCTGCATTAATTGTTTGGATTGAGATGTTGTCTGCAAACTTAAAACAACAATATCAGATAATAAACTGTTCTTTTCTGTCCGTATTAACATTTTGTGTTGAAAACATTTATTTGTTCACACACTGATTGTACACAACATGTTATCCTACTAGAAAAAAAACAAACAAGAAAAGTGTCCTGGTGCCCTGAGGATGTTTTTAGACTTAAGTGCAGACTACTTAAAGATGGCGAGTTGGAAGAAATCCTGTCCAACAATATAAAGGGTCAACTTTTTCTCCTTTTCCTAATGCTATCTTATCAACAAACGAAGAGTTTTTACCCTGTTTACAGTACACAACATGTAGGGCTACTGGTGAGTTGCCTTCAGGGGCTGTGGGAAACATCAGAAATCAAGCCACGGGATACCGAGAAGGAACCTGTGTTAAAGTCTTACATCTGTGAGCCCACTGTCCTTGTATGAAACAGGTTTGCCTTTTGCGCAAAAGTAGTATTTATGCTAAAAAAAAATAAAAAATAAAAATCCGAAATGAAAGACTCAAAACAGAATTGGAGACATGAGCTGGTGTTTCAAAGCTGCACTTGAATGCAGCATGTGGAGTGCGCCTCGGCAGCACAGCTGGGGCTGGAGAGCAGAAACAACACGAACAGATGAAGTGTGACCCACAAAGCCTCGGGAATGTGGACGGAGATGAAAAACACGAGTTGGACTGTCACCAGCGATGGAAACAGCTCGAAGGTAAGAAGCTAAACGACTAAAATAGGTGTTTTTGATCCTCTTTTACTACAGCGACGTATCAAAAACCTGTTGATCCAGGAGCGAGTCTCTCTCTTGGGTTCCTTCTGGTTTTACTATTTGAGGTTACTTGTTTACCACGGCTTTTGTAAGTGATGTTTCGCCAAGGTGTTATACTTGGACTGTACGCTATGCCTTGACGCAAATGTTTTTTTTGGAAAAACGTGGCCTTATTTTCCTCATTTTGCATGTTTCCCTTATCTTTACGTCTTGAGCTGCGCCTGATTTTCCACATTACCAGACCCATCGTAGAAAGTTTCCCACCACAGCAGTGTCCTTCCTTCTTTGCCTTTATTTCTTCGTGTCCAACGTAATGATAACTGCAATAAAGTAGCTGATACATTTGCACATTAGAGTCCTGTCTTTGCACTTGCGCTCTGCTTTTCTTAAACAATATGTTCTGTTGCATTTTCAGATAGTTGAGCCAGATCTGCGAACATGGCAGCTCTTAGTCACAGTTCAACAGAGAAATGGTGAGCTTGACCTCCTCTTTAAGTCTTTTTCCTTTTCTGTTTTGTATATCATACGCTCAATTAGATTTATTAAATGAATCTGGGAAATCTGAGTACGATCAATATTTGGATTATATCAAATAATCTCCCAATTGGCCTTTACCTTTGAATACCTGGTCAGATTACAGTGAGATCCTCTTCAGGTGAATTCCATGTTGTAGTGAATCAGCTTTAAAAGAAAGACATCAATCAGACGCACAGCTTTCAAAGAAGCTGAGGAGTTATGGAGAAATGAAGGAGCTATGGTTCGGGGGGGTTTTAACTATCATTTTCATTATGAATTGATCTTCTGATTACTGCACGATTGATTGTTAAGTGTATGAAAGTTTTACAGCCAAAAGTGACATCTTTTTCTCTTTCATGAAGGTTCGACTGCAGCATCCACTCGTCCCTCTCACACTGAAGAGTCTCTAACCAGGACCAGTGGAATCATACCTGGTAAGCCCAGTTTTGACCAAAACCTGATCTCTCTGTAGACCCTACGAGACCAGTTTCAGAGAGAAACACCGAGGGATCACGTTGAGCAAACAAAAGTTCCTATTTCACCTCGAGTCAAAAGCAACATATTAAGTGAAGTATGGTGACAACACTTAGAGATTAGCAAGCCTCAATAAAAACACAGGTGTATTTAATTTGATCAGTTAGAGTGTGCTGTAAAGGAGCTTTTTCAAATCGCTCAGAATTGTTTTCATTGGTTGCATCAGATACGTAGATTTCTACGTCCATGTTTCATACGCTCTATGGTTAAAACACAGTTATAGAACCAAAGCTTAGTTAACTTTTTACCTCTTTGAGTTGACTGGTTGTGACACATTAAAATTAGGATAAATGTGTCTTGTTTAGATTGGACAAAGAACCCATTGCCCCTTCCTCTAAAGAACATGAGTATCATGAAATCAGGATAACAGTCTGAAGAACTAAAAGTATGGCCCTTGAAATGTGAGACATAAAGCATCAGAAAGATACTCGATTATATTTGACTAGAGGGCAGTCATGCTACACTTGATAAATGCATCCTTATGTATCATTTGAATATGTTTGTTGTAACATATGCAAATACATATAGTGTATGTATTTTATGCTTTCAGGTGCCATAGCAGCCACACTGTTCATTGCCTTCCTTCTTGCTCTCTATGCTGTCCTGTGGAAATGCATGGTGTCGCCGCCACAACGGTAAAAAAAAAAACACAATCACCAACTTGATTTAGCTGCAGCCTCACTTTGATTTTGTTGACGCAGCCCGCTGCAGACTTCCATTTGTTCACCTGCTCGTAAGTGTCACGTGTGAGCTTTGTACCCTCATCAAAGAAAGGCAAAGAGCCTCACATGATCAACACTTTGCCCACTCCAAAATACATTTCTGTTCATGTTTGATTGATTGTTCAAACACATTTCCTGTTGTCTTCACAGAAAGCACAGGAAGGTGAGGGTACGGATAAAACAGAGGAGTTCTGTGTGAAGACTGGCTGCCAGGTGGAAATTATTTAGAATGTTAAAGTTGCGGACCAAAGTTAAAAGCAGACTTTTCTCTTAGTCAGAAAAAACAGCAACAATATTCTGCTCAAGAAGATTGTCCTAATGTATTCCAAAGAGTAATCTACGGGGGAAAAAACACTGAGTGGTTATGTCACCCTGTAACCTTTACTGTTACTGTCTGCTGGTGGCTGCTGTTGACTCAAAGAAACTGTGACGATGTGTAAAACAGTTTTTTTTTGGCAGGTCAGATTGTGCTGCTTTACTCTGTGAACTCTGCACTACTGAGGAATGAAGCAGCTCGGGCCATAGCTCACTCTATGACCAATACGCTGCTTCTACATGTCTGAAACAGATTGTGGTGTTTGGGTGTTTTTTTTTATGGCACAGTCTTTACAATATTTTTGAAAGTACAGAGGGGCATGAGTTCATTTAAATCGTCCTAGTTGAGGATTTTTAAGGTAAAACTCTTAAAGCTGCCGGGATGTTCCGAGAAATCAGCCAAACACATGTACAGCATTATTTAAAATCTTAAGGATTTAGTTTCATACAAGTCTTCTCATGGTTTTTCTTTTTGGTCTTTCAATCCAGGTGATTGATTCACCTTACTCAGGATGTTTTAACTTGGATATGACTTTTGAATCTCTACAATAAACTGTGACAAATGTTGCTGTTGGTGGTTTTTCACTTCAGTTGCTTGTGAATGTAAATACATGCGCCGGTCTGTGACTTAAATAAACTTTTAATCTGACTCAGTCATTTTTTTATTAATTTCATATTATATTTATAATTTAGCATAAGTATTAAGTGATATAAGAAATGGACTGTGGATTGAGTCATGCACAAAGTCAATGAAATGTGTCAGTGTGAGCAAAAGAAGAAAGGTTTTTCACTGATTAGTAAGCTTTTGTTTCCATATGTGAGTGAATGTTGGCCATTGATTATCAGGTCAAGTTTACAAACTGTCAAATCTCTTAATCTATACCATCAACAAGATGGAAATATGCTCGCCTGATGGACACATCCTCTATGAATGGGCTCTGTTCAGCAGCAGCAGCAGCAGCAGCTGAGCCTCACTAGTTAATTTACTGTTTGTCACAATGTTTGAGGAGCTGGCTCTGTTCCAGCAACATCCCGGCACTGGTGTCACACTTCCGAACTAACCAGTTCTGCAACTTAGCCCAACTCTTTTAGAAGTCAAATAAATAATGAGCAGGGAATGTGGGGAAGTGAACTGCGAAATTCTGCTAAATCTTCAGCAAACAGATTGATTTGTTTACAATGAGGTGTTAGCTTCGGCTCTTGTACATGGTAGATATTCTGATTGAATCACCGAATATGCACAACAGCTAAATGCAACATCCCTCATATGACAGGTGGGAAAACAAAACTGAAACTGTAAAAATGTAAAGTCAGAGTGATTGTTTGTCACCTCTCAAAAGAGCAAAACAAGTTACACTGGCATACAGTGCTATTTTTAGATTAAAGTTCTGGTAAAACACTGTTATGTGTGTGACAGCTATAAACCAGTTGTGTGTGTTTCTTGATGAGGCAGCACCAGTAATTATTACACACTATCAGATCCTCAGACAAACTTGAACTGTAACCTGGCTTGCAAAGTCGGATTTCTGTTGGCATCTGGAGTTTCCAAAAGGCTGCAGCAGACCAAATAAATTCACTTTATTAAGTTACATTATCAGCTTCAAGAAATGTGACGAGTGTACAGTATTTGACAGAAGTCTGGAAAATGAATACAACAAACTGTCGGCACAGATTTTGAAATTTTAGCAAGTCGAGAGGCGTTAAAGTGTAAGATGGATGTTTTGTCCCTGACGGAGGAACTACAGGGAGCAGAATTCAAGGTTTACTAAGAGGCAATGACCACACATTTTTAACTATCACAACCATTTTTAATTATGTAAATTATACTACAAATACCAGCTTTTACACCCTGATAATAAAATACAGATGTGTACAAATACAGAACGTATACCTTGAAGAAAAGCTGAATCAGGACATGAATCTTGTACGTTGCTTCACAGGTTACACACTTTCACACTTTCAGTTGTATAAGCACCTCACAAGCTGAATGGAAAAATCCTGAATAGTTTAAATACCTTTAGACACTTTTAGGCATGTTAAGATACAGTTCGCAAGCAGACTATTTACCAACTATGAATAAGTAAGTTCACATATTTCACATTTAAATAGAAAAGCTTAAGAATGTCAGTATGACTAAAGAACTAAGTATCCATTTATAATATTTGCACTATTGAAATGTAGACAAACATGACGTACAAGTTCAGGGCTGTGTACAGTACAAACATAACATTGCATGATTCCTATGGACTCTCAGAAAGTTGAATGCTTCATTTGACATCAGAGAGCGTTACTTGTTGTGTTTGACACAGATCCAACTCGGTGGTGGGAAAATAAGACTCGTTAGTGATGTATGTAGTCTGTTGAAGAGGTGCTCTGCCCCACAGTTGTGGACAGTATTCTGCTTGGAGCAGATCACAGGAGAGCGGCCGGGTTAAAAGAGAGGATTGTGGACCAGGAGGGGGCGGTGTGTTCAGGGCTTCAGGATCTCTCAGTGTTAAGTAATTCAGAAGAGGTCTGTTTGTCAGGATCTCGATTTCGCAGCTTCTGCACTCCTCTGGTTTCTGAGACTGCAGCCACTCACCAGTCTGTGCAAACATGCAGAAGGGAATATAATTATATGAACATCGTGCAAAAAATTCAGTTCATTTGTCTAGACAATGGAAGCCTATTCTTATCGGAGGGCCTGGTGTACACAAAGTGCTGTGTATGCCCAGAACTGGATCTACTTTGCTGTGCAGCTAGCTATGACGGAGCTTCTCTTTTTTTACTTTTAGACTAATAAATGTTTAAAGGGGACATATTATGAGTAATCCACTTTTACAGTATTTTTGAACATATATTTGGGTAACCTGACTGTCTACCGACCCACAAAATGTGAAATAATCTGCGGAAGTAGTAACACAGAGAAAAGTGCTCTGTTTCAAATTTGCTCAACTTGTGATGTCACAGTGGGATTCTGGTAAAAAAAATAAAAAAATCCCCCTCCACCCCAAGCCTAGAACACATTTTTGAGCAGGTCCGCCATTTTTATTCTCGCTACAGACGAGTGACGTCTATTGGGAAAACTCAGGGGGGGGCTCATTGCATTTAAAGAGACACACACACCAAAAGGGAGCGTTCTGAGAGAGCTGGTTTATACAGGGTAACAAACCTCCTCTGGTGCTTGATTTATGTTATATTTTGACCAAAGCACAGCACAGATGTTTCATTTAGACCACAGGAGACTGTTTTAAAAGGTAGAAAAGGGGTAGAATATGTCCTCTTTAAATTAAATGAACATTTTATTTTATTTTATTTAATCTGTAAGGAGTGAGTGACATTGTCTTGTCATTATCGTTGATTCAATAAAGGATTCAATGTTTGCAATTATCTCATAAAATAATCTTTAGGTGTTTTTTTAAATGCCAGATCTCCAAGATAACAAAAGGAAAACATATGTATTGTATAATAAATATTTGCTGCGGTGAGCTTAGTATGTCATTTTGCTCTTTTCCGGATTTGACTGTTTCAGTGTGTTGTCCAACCTCCTGCAGGCATCTGTCCAGCTCAGGAGTTTTTATGTTCATGCCAGCAGGATAAAAGATGATCCCCATCAGCCCTCTCTGCAGCCTGGAGGATGGAAACAAAAAACAGAAAGAGGATGGAAGACAGCGGCTTTAGGCTGTCTTTGGCAGGATTTCATGTTTAAATGACAATATAAAGAGGAAATGACTCACGTTTTTCTCTGAGGCCACAGGAGGACGATGCAGCCCAGCAGTAAAAAGAAAGGAGTCAGAATCTTAACCATAAGAGAAGAGTCTGCCAAGGAGAAAATAATGTGTACAATTTTACTCCGTTGACTGGTAAAAAAAAGGCCTGTGTGCTACAACAGAAACAAACGAACTAGAATTCATCAATAGCGTTTAGATTTGTGTAGATCTGAGTGCACATGGAGCTCACAGTTAGTTTTGGTCCTGATGGTGATGCTTGCAGCTTGTCCAGGTCCCTCCTTAGTGAGAGCACTCACAGAGAAAGTGTATTCTTGATTCTGCTGCAGACCCTCGATGGTCACAGACTTCCTATGAGGGTCTGACACCAACACGTTCAACAGATCTGGATGTACACAAGAATATAAATACTTGGTTTCATGTTGTCTAGAAGCATTACAACGCAGGAGTAAAAAACAAGACTCATCCTCTTAGTGATGCTTATCTGAAATGACTTGTGAAGACAGTCAGCTTGTAGTAATTTGTATTACTTTATTATTCTAAATCTAAAAAGATGAATATCAAGAAGCACTAGCACTTGAAGTTTTTCCCCCTGCACTCACCTGAAACATCACCTGACAGCGTGACGGATCCTAGTTCCTGCACTGTGATAAGGTAACCAGTGATGAACGCTGGATGAGATGCGTCATCTTCACTATAACTCCACTCCAGCATCACAGATGAGGAAGTACTCCGAACCAGTCTGATCAGACTCGGAGATGGTACGGATTCTAAAGAAATGAAGGCGATTCATGAGGAAGGGAGACGAATAAAAACAAATGGAATCAACGTCACAGACTTCAAGTTACAATGTGACTTCTGACTTGTTGTACCAATGTCAGAAGCTGTTTAGAAAGTTGCTGCTATGACTACTCTAAAACCTCATTAGGAGTCTGGGAATTCTAAAAACTAATGTAACTTAAAACTAACTAATTATATTAATGAGAAAGGGGACTCAAGTTCCGGAATATATTGTTGCATTGTTAAGGTAAGACCTGATATATTTAAATATGTTTCCTATTTTTATTTAGGATTTTAAACACAAGATAGGCAAAGAAAAATAAGCAAACAAGGGAGTTGTTTTTTATATAGAAGAATCTCCTCTCTTTCTGAACTATTCATCCTGTTGTTCTGACTGTAGACGTCATGATGATTATGTAGCGTTGTCTTCATGTAAGCATCATGTCTCCTGCAGTTTATCTCTCCACCCTGTCTGTCGAGGATCAGTCCTGAGGCTTATCAGTATGTGCCATTGAGACCAGCCATCAAATACCTATTTAACCTCCTTAGGAGATAAAGTGGTCTGATATACACGAATGAAAGAACACACATTTCCAGAACAAGACATGACTGGAAATACAACTCACTTAGCTCTTGTAAATATCCAGTCTGCATCTCTAGTAGTCGGTGTCCATTTTCCTTGCATCCAAAGATACTAAACGTATACCTGCAGCCTGCTTTGAAATGTCCTGAGTACAGAATAAGTGTGAGTCATAAGTAAAAGTAAGAAGAGTTGGAAGGATCTAAACATACGGTGAACAGTTGAGGAGAAGAGAAACCAAAAGAGAAAACTTACTCCCAGGTAGGAATAATGTGTTGTTTCCCTCAGACATTTTCACCCATCGCAGAGTACATGGCACTACATTTCCCAGAATGCACCAATCCACAGTGTATCCACATGTGGCGGTTTCATCCTGTGCCCAGGACAGATTGAAACCAGCAGCTGAGTTGCTGCTCAACCACTTTTCTGATGCATTTTTATCTGCACAGATACACAATTTCAAACTGTTTCGATCTCAAGAGTAGCAATGAAAGTCACATGACAGCAGAAGGGAAAGCTCTTTTGATAAGTGACAATAAACATTGGGAGAGAATGTAAGGTATGACTTGCATCAGATAACAATAGGAAAAGTCGAACCAGAGACCAGTGTGACGAGGACTATAGCCTATGGTAATCATTATATTTAAGGGGTATTTCCACTAAGAAGAGGTTTTAAATGAATCATCTTAGCTGATTCAACATGTGTCACTCACCTTGGTCATCCTGCTGTGGGACTGTGATTTGAGCAGGGACGGTGGAGCCAATGGAGACCACAGCCTGGACAGTGAAGTCACACTGTCCTGGACCTATGGACACCTCTGCCTGAGTCTGTCCACTGCTCTTCAGCTCTGTCTGGTTTCTGCCTCCCTGAGACCACTGAACCTTGTAGCCTTTGATGTTTACTGTTGCTGCTGAGCCAGTAACAGGCTGAGAACAGAGGTGGTTGTGGACGTTATTTACGAACATATCCTTTGTCAAGTTTGTGCATTATAACACCAATATTTCTGCAAAACAGGAAGGAATGGAGTCTCACTGGAGTCCACATGAGAGTAACTTGACGACTGTTTTGATCTGGCAGCTGTGTTATTCTCCTCCACACATCCAAGGTCACCAAGGGATCTGAGGCAAGCACATGAAGGAAACACTCGCATGGAGAATCATTTATCACTCTAATCAAATCACTTCTAGTATAAACCTAAGGCTAACAGGAGCTACAGTCTGGCCTTGAACCAACTTTGGGATGTGTATGATGTACTGATTAAATTAAGTGATTTAAGAAAGACAAGGACCTGGGAGCCATGATGTCCTGCCATCATGAATGTTGAAAGGTAAGCCTGATTTGTCTTGACTTGAAGTGTCCCTTCAAAACATTCTTGGTCTAGGTTTAATGTTAGCATGGTCTTGAATCTTACATAACTATACTTGGTTAGGAACTGACTTTACCGTACCCAGTACACCCTATACTACACTTGTAATTAGGCCTGTACGATATGAAGTAAAATATATTGACAGCATTTAAAGTGCATCTTACCTATAACTCACAGTGTTTATGTCTATGCTTTTCTTCATGTTTTACACCATATCTGTGTACGTAATATTTTTGCCCTGAACAGAAACAAAATCCCATAGCACCTTTTCAAAACTAAATTGGCAGAATTCAATCTGAGTAGCTTCAAAATTGTGTCAAAGTAGGGCAATTATGCCCATTATGTACTAATGCTGAGTGAGAAAGCACAACTTGTTTTCTTATGTATTGTGATGAATTTGGTCATTGGTAATGTGTTAATTGTGAAAGGTCATATGACAATCACAGTGAAATTGTGATTAACTGCACAGCACCTAGAGACTTGTACTCACAGGTTTTGAAGGTCACAGGCTGAGTCCATTTTCCCCAGAGTCTGCCATCAGCAGAACAGCGTACCCTTGTGGTGTAGCGGGTGCTGGGTTGCAGATGTTCCAGTTTGACTTTGCAGAACTCCCTCACACTGTTGCATGTCATCTGTTACAAACACACAGACTCAACTTTTAAAAACCTGCACTAAAATGTCCAACTTTCACATATAGAAAAGCAAAAGTGAGGTTCAACTTACCACTGTTGTGACGCCTGGGACTGTGTTGACCTGACACAGGAGGCTCACTTGTGTTAAGTTCCACAGCATGAACCAGGACACAGTGGTGTCTGTAACCCCGGGGCTTACGCTACACCGCTCCACAACAGGAAACACTAAAAGCATATGACATTTTTTGGGGCAGATTTTTGAATTGTGGCCTTTTTCAACCCTCAAATACATAATTGAAAATGTATCACAAAACACATACGCTACAGTCCATATTCTGTTGAGATGTCTGACCTCTGTCAGAGATGTTGAAGCTGTAGCTCTCTGTCTCCTTTCCCAGCAGGTCCTTTACCTCCACACTGATGTTGTATTCTTCCAGCTGGGGGATGGCCGGAAAAGTACAAGACAACTGTTCACAGAGGATGGGAGGCTGGTCTGAGTTCCTGGGTTTTTGACATAAAAAGGGCATACAAAAATCATCCATATTTTCTATCTTTCCTGTCCCTTGCTATATTGATGTGTACACATCAATATAGGACTATAAAAAAATCAAATGACAATGACATTCCTCTAAGCTGTGCAAACTGGAACGTTTTGACATAAACGCAGCACTCTCTGCCTTGAATCCACAAAGTTTGTTAATGTGTGCTCATACTGTATGTGCAGTGTGTGTGTTTTCTTGTTGTGATTGTCCAGCTCTTGTTTTCTGTCTGAATCCCAGGTGCAAGTGACAGTTTTCATGTCTGATGTCACACAGCTGAGATTTTCGGGCTTCTGGGGAGGAGCTACAGCACACAGACACACACATACACACATTTAAGGCAAAGGCTCTTTTAAGTTAAATTGAATAACTGGATGCATGGACTGCAAAAAAAACAAATAATTCAAACTTACAGCTCAATAGTTAAAGATGTGCGTGTTGTTTCCTGCGTCATCGCTGCATATGATCGACAGAGCGTCAATGAATGATTTGATGATGTTTAGTTTTTCTACAGTGATAGCCTTGACTCTATCACTAATGCTGATAAGAGGTTGTGGGCTGTTATTGATGGATATGCTGGTAATATTCACTCCTAGAGGGGGAACACAGCAGAACATGGCGCTGGTGCCCTCTCTCAGCACCCGCTGGAAGGGAAAAATCTTGGTCTTATCCATTGCCTGGGCTCCTAGAGAAATGTGCACAAGCAGAGGTGCAGTTAGGTTCTATGAGCTATTGTCTCTCTTTAATATCAACCTTCAGTGGAAGACTAGAGACTATTGAGAACTATATTACCATAACAAATTATGACCAAGGAGAAAATAATCCATCCATATTCAGGCTTTGCACAGGATGTACATTGCAACATTTGCAATGACTGCAAGAGTTACAAAACTCTGATATTTGTATAAGATAAGATAGTCGAAGAGAAAAGGTTAGGAGCCTCACCCTTGCTTAGAAAACAGAATTGGGTGCTTATTTGATGATCAGTGTGAGCCACAAAACTAAGGTATTTTCCAGCATTTGGTTTACTTTTACAAAGTTACACATACAGACAAGAGAAAGTTATTCTGTTTGACTGAATAGCTTAACAGCAATATATTAGGATGACATATTGCTGTTTAAAACCCTATTTAAAAGGATTCAGGTTAAAATTGTTACAAATAAAGAAAACTAAGAATCAGAGAAAACCCTTCTCACCATCATTTGTTTTCCAGCTGCTCCAGGGACTTGGGACAGACTTATTGTAGAAACTTCGTATCCTGACTGAATGATCAACACACTCAAGAGGCAGCTCCGAGGTCCATGTGTATTCATGTGAATCTATGGACGGTACACTAATATTTCTCTAAACAAAACAGAGTATAGTATGTTACATTACGTTAACAGGACTTTCATTAGCATTATAAATGCTGTTAAATGTAGACCAATCTATATACCATGAAATACGAGGGATGCAACTTTATAGAGCCTCAACTCCAGACAATAAGTACTTACGCACTCACATTATAAATAATGGTGTGGTTTAAAGTACGGCCAATCTGGATCTCATAAACATCACCCAGTAAGCTGCTGTGGTTTAGCTGCCAGCTAACCAAGAGACTTTGCCTGTCACTCAGAGCCTGCAGATGAGTGATGCTTGGCCTTGAACGCTGCCAAACTGGAGCACAATGAACCTCAATGAATGCAATAATACAGCACAAAGTTAAAGTTCTTGGAAGATTTTAAATCAGTCAAGCTCACCAGTATCCTCAGAAGATATACGATACAACCAAAGCAGGCAAACCAAGGATATCTTGAGAGGTATCATGATCTCAGAGAAGTGATGAAAGTCAGCGCTGCACACATTAAGTGAAAGTCTCATGGGTCAGTGGTTACTGGCAGTTTGCCTGAGTATTGCACAATAATGTAAGAGCACCAATCCCTGAGAGGTGTGCAAACATGACTGATGTTAAAAGTAAAACACAGGAAAAACACACATGTGTTCGCCACAATAGTTTTATATACACAACACTATTCATATGGAACATCACAGTTCTGGTTACTTGGACACAAAGAGGACACATTTCAAACCAAATGTTATTCATGTTAACAGTGCATGAAGCAATTTACACACAATAACTTATCCAAAAAGCAGACAAACAGAACACATATAGCCATCCATCACAGAAACTCTTACAGTATCAGATAGCAAGATTTTTGGCACTTCAGTGAGAAAAGTAATGAGAGGAATAGAAGATCCTCTTTAAACAAAGCATGCATAGATGGCCTTTACAAAAAAAACTATACACATTTTTTACATCCATATAATAATTTTGGCATATTTATGTCTTTAAGATGCTCGAAATCCCTTATAAATATTATTAAAGAACACATGGAGGAATAAAGCCGTCTATACATACATAGTTTAGGGGAGGCCTCTTAAATATTTATTTTAAGTGCTCTTGAGAAAACAGCTTCTGTTCGGTTTTCCTGATACACTAACTCTCTAATTGGGGGGAATTAATGTACATCGTCCATCATCAAAGTGCAACAAACACTTACAGTATCAAAGTAGGAGTAAAAACATGGGAAGTGTAATTATAAAAGCTACAAAGAAATTGTTTGCAAAAAGGCACAATGGTTTCCTCACGTAGGAAGAGAATGATTAACATGTACACTGATAAAGGCACAGCACCTCCCCTGTAACATTTCCCTTATTGTATTACTTCAAAAATTAACTTATTTCCATCACATTTAGACACAAACATACACAACCACAACAAAGCAACACACATATATATGTTATCGTCTGTCCTGTTACATGTTGGAGAGCTTACATTAGGATTCTCAGAGATAAACTATATTCTCCTCGCCCACCTCCTCCCCGTTCTGTCCTTCAAGGGAGAGGTAAGCCTGCGGTGGAAGGAGGGGGGTCAGAGAGGGAGATGAAGCGAAGTCGCCCTCATACAGTCCATGACCAGTGATCTCAGACCTCCAGGGACCGAGGGGTCTCCTGTCCGATTGCGTGCTGAAGTCTGCTAGAAAAAGAACAGTCTTAAAAAAGGATATTTTTTGTTTTGTTTGTAAGATATAGATTCAGATTCAATTCATCTGTGTTCTCTTAAAAACTTGTATTACATTAAAATATCAATATGTACCGTTGACTGATGTTATGCCTTCCTTGAGCATGTATACAGTTCCAGATGAACTCTGTTTACTTCAGCACTGCCTAAATCCAGTGTTTTTAAATGCTATGGTTGAGCTCACAGTTTTAGTCATGCAACAAACCCTCAATCAATAAAAAAGACGTTTCTAAAAATGTCCTCACCCGTGAAAATTAATTTGTGAGTAGGTCAACTGTTATATTAAACCCATTCAAACATTGCACGTACTGTTGTTGGTCCTTTGTGGCTGCGCAGAGACTCTGCCGCTGAAGGGGTGGGTGGAGTCGTTCAGAGGCCGGGTGCAGCCTTGGTTGTTGCTGTAGTTCGGGAATGTCAGACCATCCGCGGGTTGTTTGCTGTGAGCCTGGCTCAGCAGGGTGTTCAGGCTGTTGTAGAGGCTTGCACTGAGGCCAAGGTTAGCGGTGTAACTGGAGCTGTTCAGAGAGCCATCATGGTTCTTCCTTGGCATGGAGAGCAGTCGCTGGTGCTGGTTGTTGTTGGCAGGCGGGTGGAGGCGGTTCTGCTGGAGGGAGGTGAGCAAAGCTGCCTCGTTCTCGTACAATGAACAGCTTCCATCCAGGCTGCCTGAGCGGCTATGGCCAGACACCTGGGAAATGGAAACAACACCTGGTATTTGTACTTTTTCCTGGCAAATATTTTCATCCCCACATCTTGATCCTCTACCTTCCTGTCAATCAACCCCATCTTTTCTAACCTTGTATCCATCCAGTGATATGGTAACAGGCAGACTGCTCTGACGGTTGTGTCTCCAGCTCTGCAGGAGCCTCTGCTGGGCTTCGATGTTTTCCTTCTCCCGCTCCACACTCCTCTGGCCGTCCCTTAGTCGGTCCAGATTTTGCTGATACTCCAGCAGCTGAGCCTCCAGCTCCTTGCGCTCGCATCGCAGACGCTCCGCCTCCAGGAAGCACTGCTGCTCTCGCTGCGCCAGTGCACTCTCCTGCTCACTCTGGAGACAGATATGTAACTTTTAAAAAAGGAGTGCTGATTGTGTGGTGCACTATTTATAAAAAGGTTGGAAACACATGCAATCAAGAGACCTCAACATGTTTGTTTTTATACGCAAATTATTAATCTGACTTTCCTGCTTCACATATAAACCAACACAGAACGTTACAGACTGGGGGCGGCTCTGTTGCAAAAGGATGCTAGCTGTCTTTGCATTTCAATGTGGCACATTTTGAGTATTTAAGAATTTAAAAAAGTAAACAGGAATATTTCATAACTGTGATTAATTGACAGTACTATAGCATTGGGAAAATGTTATGCTAAGAAACTTGCTAAGCAGAAACTTTAATTTATCTATCAACATTAGCCTTGAATTTGTATTTAAAGGATATTGGATTTTTTTAAAGATATTTTATGCCTTTATTTGCGGGACAATAAAGATTGAAAGGAAACATTTGAAGGAGAGAGTGGGGGAAAATGTAACAATTGTTGAAGGTTGGTATTAGTCATTTTTGAGTGTTTATTGCATGGCCTTGCGGAACAGTCTTTACATTTCATTGCGCATCTGTATGAGCCTGTGGCCACATAGGGTACGCAATCTAACTGCTGAGCTGAACTGACGACCTGACATGTTGCATTAGCTGTTTGTTCTTGCAAAAACACAAACCCACTTTCAACAGAAAAAAGGAAGTTAGAACATTTCCCCACAAAACATCTGAACTTCACAGGAAGTTCTGTTGATATCTACGATCTGCAAGAATCTGATCAGAGAGAGGTGCATTCCTGAATTCATCACAGTGTTTTATGACATATAAAAACCATGACTTTATAAGGGGTTAAGAATGCAAATATGATCTTGTTGAATTTTTCTAATAATTCTGTTCTTTGGTCGAGTCTACATCACAGCAACAGGTGGTGTTTTAGAATAACTACCTCTGATTTGACAGCATTGACTTGGGTGTGAAATTACCAGAAACTGGCACGGAAAAAAAGAGATGGGCAACAATAATAACCAAAACAATGGTAATGTAGCCCCAAACTGCCATGGGGTGACAACTGCAGGGAGAGAGAGAGAAATAACAGAATGGAGACGAAAGAGCGTCCAGGTAACTTAGCTGAAACATAAGCATGAGACTCACTTGTTGTTTCTCTCTGGTCAGACATTCTCTGTCCCAGCGTTGCTGCTCCTGTTTTAGCCTCACATGAAGTTTCTTCACCCCCTCCACCTCCTCTTTCCTCCTCTCTGAACCTTTCTTTTCTACTTCCTCTTTCTTCTTATCAAAACTCCTCTGCTTCTCGAGCTCCTGGATAAAAACAAAAACAGGTTCAGTATGTTCTTATTTTAAAACTAGAACACAGAATTATAGTCTAGCCTCCTCAGAACACGTGTACATGTTGGTGTTGGTTTGAAGTCTAAACACTTATATTACCACACTGTTTTGGATGGAAGTGAGGGCTCGGAGCTGAGGTTTGTCTCCCTCCAGGAGGAGGAGTTTCTGGACTTCATGGCAGCTGTCCTGGAGGGTTACAGCAGCCTGCCAACACAAGGAGGAGAAAACCTGATCACAATCTGCATTACTCTATAACATCAACATGCGAGTGCTAGGGTGACATTTGTTCAGTCAGCTTATGGCAACTAAATCCTTTCAAATCTTAAACCTTTCTTAAATCAAGATAGCACTTTAAAATGACTGGAACACAACATTTTTCAGGTTATGTATTTAATTTTAAATGACAACTTGAGTGTTTTTCTCAATAATTAATTCTAAAGAAAATAAAAAGGGAGAAAGATTACATATGTAATAAGAAAACAACAACAAAAAAAACAGATCAGAAAATAACAGTATTTGATATCAATCATATCCTTTAAAAAGCTAAAAATTAACTCGCAGATTCCGTCACAGATAGTTTCCTCACCTGCAGACTATAAAGGAGCTGAGTCAGACTCTGGACGCTCTCTGCCACCTGCAGAAATCTGTGTTATTACACATGGACACTTAGGCATATTTTTAAATACATTTCTTAAGCGGTTTCAAAGTGTTCAACCTTAAACAGTGTCCCTTTGGTGTCTCCACTTTTCAGCTCAGCAGCAGAGCTCCACAACGCGCTGTCCATTCCCATCAGCTCGCTGTCTGATCCAAGAGACGTGGAGCTCATACTGAGCGTGCTCAGATAATCAGCTGAGGCAACAAAGAAAGATGAAAGACCCAAGTGTTACCGCTGGTGTGTGTAAGTCAATGTTGTTGAGCACATCCGGAAAATAAATGGTCAGGTTTTCAGTGGATCTGCCACTTACGCTCAGATGGAGACTCCTGGATGCTGCTGCCGTGGCTGTTGTAGCTGAAGCCCTCCGGTCCTCCCACAGGTGAGCCCTGACTCGGAACAGAAAGACCATCACGGGCCTGCAGCATGGAGATCAGGTTCTCCGCTGCAGAAACAAATATACATGGTGCTTTTTAGTCTCCCAGTATGCCAGTACACACTACTGTACCACACTACTTTAGATAAATGATTCACTCACACTTTAGTTTTGTTTCCATTCATATTGCATGCAGACTGATATTTCATTACTGATATTTCCAGAGTCATTCTACTTGGTATACGTCATATTAGTATAATTAGAGATGTGCTTTTGCTGCCGTGGATGAAGAAAAACTGAACAGAATGAAGAAGATTATAAAACATTTTCTAAACATCTTAATTTTTATAACAGTTTTTGTGTTCCA